CAATGCGAATCAATCAACCAATCATTTATAATAATCATTACAGTTCACGTTTTCACAGCTTTTTCTTATTCTATACTTCGATGTTCTATAACATTGTGTCGTTCTGTTCACATTACTGGGCAATTATATATACCATGTAGAAGAGCGATTCATTCACCCCTTTTAACCCTTATAAATAAGAAGTTTTATAGCTAGCCAAACCTCTCACTTGTATGACAGTCGCATAAAATTACATTCATTTACATTGACAACAATATGTGAGCAAAACAAACAGGCATAATAGGTAAAAAATGTCAAAAATTGGGGTACAACAGTCAACATTGTGTTAAAATCTTAATAACTTCAAAAACAAATAACTATTTCAGCAAGAAAAACAAAATTTGCATAGCAAAGTACGTGAGCAAAAATTAAAGACAAGAATACAAAAAATGACCATAGAACAATAACACAATGGCGAGATGTATAAATACCGAGCCACGCCAAAAGTATATTACCAAAAATGAAATTAAAAACCCGACAATTTTCAAGATTTTATATGTAATGAGGAATTTAATAATTCTTCATAAAGAAATAATTTTTCTATGGGTACCGAGTCATGTTGGAATCCTTGGAAACACGGCTGTAGACCAGGAAGCAAAAAATGCTGGATGACCCTTTATATATCTGTGATATACCATATATTGATTTTAGATCTAATATTAGAGAATATGTTTTTAATATATTGAAAAATGAATGGAGTAAAAAAGAGGATAATAAATTACATGAAATTAAACCTAAATTAGGTAAACCTTTTAATAATTTTATGTGCAGAAAAGGTCAGTGTGTTATTTCTAGATGCCGTATTGGTCATACTAGAATAACACATGAGTATCTTCTAAAAAATAAAGATGAACCACAATGTATACCTTGCAACTGCACGTATACTATTGAACATGTTTTAATTAATTGTATTGACTTTGCTGATATTCGTAGGAAGCATTTCAATGTCAATAACATGTATGATTTATTTGATAGTGTTCCAGTTACAAATATTATTTCATTCTTAAAAGAAGTTGGAATATATTATAAAATGATTTTAATTTTTATCCCTTTATCTTACTAGTATTGAATTTTATTCGTAAATAAGCAATTTTGCTTTAGACTTAAGTTTTAGTATATTGAAGGACCTTTTGTCTGATTTTAAAAATATACCTAAAATTGTAAAAATATTTGAATAAGCTCTCGCCGCGATATAGCCTTTTTGCGCTAAGGCGGAAAGCAAACATCAATCAATCAACCTTTTACCAAAAATGGACTAAACAGTAAAGGTTAAAAATATTCAAAGATAAATAAAAAGAACACAATAACACGTAATTAAGATGATAAACAACATCAGTATCTAGAATCTATACTTCAAGATCATCATGTATTACTTGTGAAGTTGATACGGAATATTTATCAACAAAACATAGACAAATGAAATAAAAAAAGAATAGTATTTCAAAAGTTAAGTTCAGAAATGAAATGTAATTAAATACTGTGATTTTTATACTAACATATAACATATTAGTAGAATAGTCCCAGTAAAATAGTAATAGCTCGCAAATGAAATCAAAAGGAAAAGTATTTCAAGTCAAATAAAATCAATTAAAATAATAATTCAAAAAGTTTGAAAAGTAAATTAGTTACCGTACCAAATTAAAGCCAATGTAGTTGCTGTTAAAGAACTTGCATGGAATCAATGGATTCCTGCGAGCTGTATATAAGAGAAGGGTGGCAATCATTGTTACACTGCCGACTCATTTATACAGTGCTCACCCATTAACTATTGAAACAGCCAGATATTCAGAAAATCATATTGATAGATCTGAGCGCTACTGATTAAATTGTACAGCTGATAAAGTTTAGGATGAGCGTCATTTCTTAATCGAATGCCCATTTTATAATAATTTGAGAGATGAACTATTTCAGCATATTTCTAGCACTTGTCATAACTTTGTTGATTTAGATGAATCTTCCAAATTTATTTTTATATTTGTGTATATATGTCTCTGATAGGATATACACCCCATTTTGGAGTTCTAATGTAACAAGAGTTAAATCTGATTGATTTCTTGATTGTTGCTTAGATTCTATTCGCTTTCAAGGGGAGCTCCGAATAACGGAGATATCAACCCGAACATACATACATTGGCTTAAATGAGAAATAGAAATGTGAACCCCAAAGATATTGTTAATACACTAAATGTTCATTTTTCTTCCGTAGCTGAAAAACTTATTGGAAATAATACTTCAGATATGGATTTTTCTAAGCTACAAACTTTTACTAGTACAAAATTAAAGGAAACTGAAATTTTTAAATTAAAACTCATTTCTGTTGGAGAGGTGTGTTCACAACTAAAACACCTTAATATTAATAAATCCGCAGGTTTAGATGGAATTGGTCCAAAACTTTAAAGCTAAGTGCAGAGATAATATCGCCATCACTAACTTTTCTAATAAACAAACGTCGAATCGTTTTCCGCAAAAATTAAAACTTGCAAGAGTAACTGCTATACATAAAGGAGGACCAACAGATATTCCCTCCAATTATCGTCCAATTTCTATTTTAAATACCATATCTAAAGTTTTTGAGAGACATGTATGTACACAGTTATATGCATTCTTAAATAATAAAAAATTGTTACATATCGCTCAGTCTGGTTTCAGGCAAGGTCATTCATGTCAAACAGCGCTGACTAAGCTAATTGATGAATGGTTAAAATATTTAGACAATGGAGAAATAGTTGGTACTGTGTTTTTAGATTTCAGTAAGGCTTTTGACCTTATTAACCATGCCATACTTTTAGAAAAGTTAAAATTTTATCATATCGGAGAACATTCGATAGATTGGATAAAATCATATTTGTCTGAGAGACAACAAGAAGTTCAATACGCTAACATTAAATCTGATAAATCGTTTGTAAAATATGGAGTGCCTCAAGGTTCTATTTTAGGTCCTCTGTTATTTTTAATTTATATAAATGATTTACCACTTCATGTTAAACAATCCGACATGGATTTATATGCTGATGATTCAACATTGCATTTACATAATAAAAACATTAAAAAAATAAACAGCATATTGCAAAATGATTTAAATGCTATACAATCTTGGTGTAGCAATAACAGTATGAAATTAATGCACAAAAAACAAAGTGTATGAAATTGGGTTCAAAACAAAAACTTACACAACTATCAGAATTATGTATTACCGTCAATGAAACATGTATTGAAAATGTCCATTCTTTCAAATTACTTGGAATTGACATTGATGAAAATTTAAGCTGGGAGGACTCATGTTGATCGTATATGCAAGATTATCTCATCTAAAATATCACTTTTGTTTAAAATTAAAGTATATTTGCCTATACACACAAGACAACTATTTTATAATGCATATATTCTACCATATATAGACTATTGTAGTTCAGTTTGGGGCCGGAAATTTATTACAAAAAGATTCAGATAGAATCATAAAACTTCAAAAAAGAGTAGCAAGAATTATACTTGAATGCGATATTTCTGTTCCATCTAATTTTATGTTTTCATCTTTAAAATGGCTATCTTTTACAAAAAGAATAAAATACCAACAATCAATTCTAATGTATAAAATTGTAAATGGACTAACACCTGATTACTTAACAATGCTAAATATTAATGATGAGCAACACCACAACTTACGATCTGTCTCTAATAATGATCTATTTGTTCCAAGACCAAATACAAATTTTTATAAAAAATCTTTTCATTATTCTGCAACAAAGGTATGGAATAATTTACCACTCAAAATAAAAAAATGTCGAAATGTGGAATTATTTAAGAAACATTGTTATAATCATTTTTCTTGAAAATTCTATGCAAGTCGAATAATTTGTTTTCTTTCTTTTATTGTAAGAATAAGAAAATTTAATCAAAACTTTACCAATTATTGACATTTATTGCCATTTGTATGTTTGAATGATTGAATTGTGTATATACTAGTAATATATATTGTATTTTAATGTATGAATCGAATGTATGAATGTTAACTGTATACATGTATTTTGTTTGAGGGCCTCAATGAAAATTAGACTACTTCTTATTGAGTAACCCTCTTTAAATAAAGAATTTATTATTATTATTATAACGCCTTACGGCCGAAAGGACTAAATGAGGGTCTGTTGGGGGTGGGTTCCTTCATTTCTGCCGGTATTCTTTAATTTTTTATGCCATTTTTCTCTATTCTTTATACTTTTTGCCCATTATTCTCTATTCTTTATATTTTAGCACCTTATTATTCTCTATTTTTTATATTTTAGCTCCTCGTTATTCTCTATTCTTTATATTTTAGCACCACATTATTCTCTATTGTTTATATTTTAGCATCTCATTATTCTCTATTCTTTATTTTTTTGGTCCACTATTCTGTTACCCCCATCCACTTCCTAGCTCCTATATCGAATGGAATAGATTTAAAAAAAAAATTAAGTCGGGGTTTATAAGAAAATTACAAACATAAGCTCTGTAGATCTTTTTGCCGGCATTAATAACAATGACAACAAATATAATATTTCAACACATACAATATAAAGACATAAAACATACACGGAAGATTACATGATGAATAAATTAACATTATGGGTATTCTAGCCCCGATCAATGAATCAAATTGCTATAGGATTGCGAATTTTTCCCTGCTAGGTTCCACTTTGTGTGTCATATTGTAAATATTAATAATGTTTAAACAGAAACCCCGTGAAATAATGATACAGTACTTAAAATAAAAAAAAAATATTATTAAGGAAATAAAATAAGAAATTCTCTTTTACCCTTGAAACCACAGAATAAAAAAAAACAAAATCTGACCATGTTGGGCTATTCCAGATATAATCCATGATTTTCATGGTACTGTGAAGCACTCCATACCTTTTTAGACTACACTAACGGGTTGGGGTATTGATTTTAGATTCACCCACAAAAATGACAATAGTGCCCGGATGTCAACCATTAGCAACGAAAACAAGCAAGATGGCGGATTCGGAGAGTATGAGTTTGGACACAAGTAACGAAGCTGGGGACGACCCCCTGGTTGATCTAAACGATGAACAGCTTGACAAACTGATACAACAGAAAATGTAAACTTTTACACATCATTTTGATTACCAGATTAAGTGATGTGATACGAAATAACTAGTGATCAATCTGACATCAAATAGTAGACTAGACGTAGACGTTCAGATTTGTGCAATTTCTCGTATATTTCCAAAGTCAAAAAGACAACTTCAAACCTCCATAGGGGATTGCAAGGGCGAGATTACTTTATGCATTTCTCATGGAGAGGGGGTAGAAGATGTCTAATCCCGAATTTCTTGAAAAATTTACACTGAAAACAGTGAATCCTAAAGTCCTGAAAAAAATATCATTATTTACAGAGCTTCGATAAGGGTTATTATCAAATTCCCACTATTATAAAGTCTCAATCCTGAAAAAGGTCCTTACACCGTCACCATTGATGAGGGGGGGGCAGGACCTTTTTCGGGACGTCGGGATCTGGTGTTTTTAAGCTCGGGATTTCAGGATTGATCCTTTCGTGATCCGGGAATTCTTTCGAATTTTGGGATGTCAGGATTTTAATTTCTTTAATTTCGTAACCTCGGGATTTCATGTTTTTAAGCCTGGGGTTTCAGGATCAGGACCCCTCCTACCCCTCTCATTGATCATGTCATAAGCGTTTTAATCTAATATTGATGAAATATACTTTGGTTTTATAGTTCAAAGTTCTTTAGTTTCCAATTCCTATTTACACATTTTGCCAACTGATAATGATGTTTTTTGCTTTTGCCAAAGATTTATATAATGAGTTTTTGTTATTTTTTTTACAATTATCCATACCAAGAAGTTTGTTTATTTTCGTACAACTCTTTGGAAGTTGAATAGGCATCTTTTAAAATAAGAAATTGATTATCTAGATTTTCTAAGTAGTGCAAATATTTAAGCATTTCATCTAAGGAAAAATCCGGGATTAATCTTGTCGTAAGGGGATTTAAGTAACCCCAAATTTCATAACCATATAATAATATCGGCAAAATTGTGTGATCAAATACATGTTATGACATTTTGGGTCTTGCAAAGAATTCAAAAGTTACTAAATTTTATTAAGGCACAATGAGTATAGTTACAAGACATACAAACTTTTCACTTCATACTTCTACGACAACACCGCGTAGCATTGCGCAGACGCCTTATCCCCTCCTTTAACTATAGCTGATAAAAATCAGCTTTGGTTTCGGGAGGTGTTACCTTCTCAATTAAACAAGGACATCTAATACAATACACAAAGTATTTTTAAGTGTACAAGAATTATCATCTACTCATCTCTTCAGTATAATTACAGGATGCAATACATTATATATATAATTTGTCTCAAATTTAGCCCTACGATGTTAGATCTTCAAAACTAATACATCATGTAATACATTGTAGTTATATTTAAAAGAATGTCAGGGTGTTATTTATCAGCATATCATACAAGGTCGATGCCTCTGCTTGTGGACTGATAGTCCCAGAGGGTATCACCATCCCAGTAGCCAGTACTTTGGTACTGGCATGAAAATATGGATTTTGTGTTATTAAAATTTGCTGTTACAAAATTTTTGAAATTATTTAAAATTAAGGAATGTATCTCCCTATGCAAAGCTATGATTCCTTGTCCTGCTTTGTCTATACTTTTTTGTCCTTTTTGGTTTATAGCTCTTCATCCTTCTAATAAGCATAGGACTTTCAAATATTTTGGCCTCGAGCATCACTGAAGAGAGATTGATTGTCGAAATGCACATCTGGTGCAGAAAAATTGGTACCATTTATGTGATTATACACAAATTTGTGTCAGCCTTAGTCATCAGATTTAATGTCCAATTCTGACTGTAGATTCATCACGTACTTGTAAGTACTGAGCTTTCTTCATCTGGATATAATTCATAACTTAAGTCATTAATGAATACAATCATCAATCCTGTCAAAATGAAGAAGTATCATGAAGAAGTATCATGAAGAAGTATCACACCACTGAAATGTTTTTGTCATTGCTCATAATTTATATGTACATTCCTAAACAAAGATTTAATATTTTCAGGATTGAAAACCAAGTGTTACAAAATGAGACACAAATGTTTGAAAAGTATCTGAAGAAGAGTGAGCCAAAGGATTCAGGAGGAGCACTGGGTGGGATAGGAGCAGGGTTAACAGTATCGTCATCTAATCAAGATCTATCAAGAGGAATGAACAGAAAGAGGTCTAAGTCACGTGGTGCTAATTTGGACAAATCTCTCCGATTGACAACAGAGCAAAAATGTGATATTGCCCAGAAAGAATTAGATGATCTTAAAGAAGATATAGAAAAATACAGAGACAACTGTGAAAGAGTTATTGATAATTTTAGAGTAGGTGTTCAGTTAATGACTGAAGCTTATCTTTTTTAATCAGGATACATGAATTAAAGAAATCACTTCTAAAGAAGTTAACCAAATCTACAATAAAAAATACAGTTTTGTTTTTGCCCCCCCTTGATGGAGTCAAAAAGCGAGACTTTGGTATGCTGTTACTAGCGGCGGCAGCGTCTTCACCAATGTATTAGTTTGTGATTAGGTCAGTTTATGCGGAACCACTAATGGTAGGTCATTGATATCTGATATGCAGTTGTATTAGCTTTGGCACATCTCATTTCCATGGAGATAATTTGGCCACGCTCCTTCAGTCATGGTATATTAACTTTGAAACTTTTGCTTACTTTACATGTATTAGTTTGTGATTAGGTCTTTTTAAAGGGAACTACTAGTGGTATGTCTGACTAGGTCAGTGATATTTGGTATGTAGATGCATAAGCATAGGCACATCTCATTTCCGTGGAGATTATTTGGGGCCGCCCTTCAGTCATGGTCTATTGGATACCAAAGGGACATTCAAACTTACAAGTTGAAAACAAACTAACAACACCATGGCCAATCAAGAAAAAGACAAACAAACAGCAGTACACAAAACACAACATAAAAAACCAAAGAGTGAGCAACACAAACCCCACCAAAAACTGGTAACATGTTAGAGTTTGTGATTAGATCAGTGTTAGAGGAACCACTAATGTTAAGTCAATGATAGTTTGTTTGCAGTTGTATTAGCATTTACAAGTCTCTTTTCCATGGAGAGTATATGGCCCAAGCCCTCATCATGGATTATTGACTGAAACTTTTACATTGTTTACAAGTTAAAATTTTTGTTTAGGTAAATGTAAAGAACTACTTATGATAAGTCAATGAAATACTATTTGGTATTCAGTTTTATAAGCATCAGCATTTCTCATTTCTATGGTTATTTAGTCCTGCACCTTAAGTCATAGTTTATTCTCTTTGAATTTATTGCATTATTTACATGTTTAAATATTGTCATTTGGATGCAATATATGCATAATACATGTACTATCAAAATTACAAGAAGACAAGACATATCTCTGTGTCAACAGTTTATTACATGTATGTTCTTTTATCTGTCTGACTCAACACAGTCTTTTGGTTACTCTTCTTATTATAAAAATAACTGCATACATGAACTTGACATCCTTCTCTCCACTGTCTGAAGTATTATAATTATTACCATGGTAGTGTAATGTGGTTAGTGTTCAGAAAGCAAGTTAATACATTGTACATCAAACTACTCAAATTATATGTTGGTAGCAAAGACATTCTATGTTCACCAAAAACAAATTTTCTTTTTTCTTGTTTTAAAAAAAAAAATCTTTATCTTACCTGACTGACCAAATAATATGAATTTCAGCTGTTGAAAATATCTATGTAAATTTTCCTTTTAGCCATTGGATTCAGTTATTTAAACAAAACAAATACGTTTGTGGACTTTGCCAATATCAAAGTGTCTGTTCACATTTTAACATAACTTGTTTTCTTTCCAGGCTATAATGGAAGAATGTGAATTGACACTAAGTGAAACCAAGAAAGAAAGTTACGAATTTGAAAGAGACATTCTGAAAGGAGCAGTTAATCAGAGAACAGGCAAAGTTATTGCTGAAAAAGTTTCCAGACATTTTGAAAACAAAATCCTTTCCAGGGTGAGTAATGAACACATCAAGTCAACTCTCTGCATAAATTATTTAGTAGATATGACCATTGTATTTTTTATATGGTGGGAGAACATACATAATTCTGTTTAAACATCTAGTTTACAGTATTTTCTCCTTTAATAGTTTATAGAGAAATTAAAGTACAATTTAACCCTTAGACTGCTACGCGCGACTATTGTCGTTCAGATAAAGCAGTCCGCTACTGCTACGCGTGACTATTGTCGTTTCCGTTTCTCATTTGTTTGCACACTTCCCATGGAATGGGCGGAGTCAATATTTATGAGATTGCGGCAGTTTAGACTTGTATGGATTCTGATTGGTTAAAATTCGGCGTACTTTCGAGTTTCTCTTGACTTTAAATCAGGTATAAGCGATGAAACCGAAAGTGAAAAATTTAGATGAAAAAAGTAACAAAATGGCGGAAATTGTTTGGAGTGATGGCCAACACGTTCAGAAGTATTTCAATGATAACGATGTAACAGCGGCGGCCAATTTAAATGATTTGGACGAGAACAGAAGATATAATAGATGGAAATAGAAACATTCTAGCAAAACTGCGAACAGAAGACTTTTAAAGCGGGAACCACGGGGATTCTCCAGACGATGTTCGAAATGGATGACATGAAATAGGATTTGCGATGTTTATCATTGCGCCTTTCAACTGTGAATCAATATTGATCACTGACATCAATAGATTCAAACATTATGTTTGTCAAGATTATTTATTGACGAAATTTATATCAATAAACTTGTTGTTAAAACATATTTGTACATGGAAGTAAAAGTCGAAAGTCGGAAGGAAAATACCGGAAAATAGTTGCATAAAAAAAACGTTGGTCCGAGAAGAAACTTTTTTCTTTTGATAATCGCAATGGAACTAGTTCTTAAAAGAGATTTTTAACAATATTGGTTCAATTCTGAAGTCATGGATACCTTTGAAAAGTTTTTACATTGATGGATTCGTGTTAATAAAACAAATGACCAGAGTCTCACACAAAAATAAAATAAATAAAAAATACAGAATATAACAATACTTTTACATTTACAAAGATATTGCAATTGTAAGTAAACATGTTTATTTCATCAGTGATTAAAATTTTATTCAGCAATACACAAAAGTACAATAGAAATGAATGCAGCAGTCTAAGGCAGGGCTTCCAAAATTTCCTGACGACTGCCGGACATTTTTCAAAGAAATATTTTTGACGGTCAATGATCAGCTGGATACTTAAATGTAACTGAGAGGATGCACAAATTGATATATGTGTCTTAATAATTAGTAGTGTTATATGCAATAAAATTATTTATAACTGTTTTGTTTTCTTCATTCTAAAAATAAATAAAATATTATCCTCGGTATTGTGTCATTTTCTGTGTATCGTAATACAGTAACCATCGTTGCATCAATCAGCTTCAGTACCTGACTGTTCTCATGTTTTTTTTCTGTTTATATAATCTATCTTCTCTCTGTGAGTACTTAACAATTTGTAAATTAAGGCCATCTTATTTGAAACTGTTGATGTTGGCTTTAATTGCAGTACAACTTGATCATCAATACACGTGATACTTTTCTTTTTGTGTATTGATTACCTGACCACGTGACTTTTACAACTGATGCGGTATTTATAGATAACATTGAGGAGGCCCAATGAAGGATATTGTTTTAACCGTGTAAAATCTACTGAACAGTGATAACATTTTTCTTTGTACAATGATAAGTACAAAATTAAATGTTTTTGCGTAGCCAGATCAGTTGACTCGTCGATCATAATTCCCACGGCGGGACTTAACTTTACGTCGGACATCACCTCTTTCTCTATAACATCGGAAATTGTCTGAATAAATTCGGAGGAGGCATTGTTCTCTTGATATAATTTAGAAGTGATCATTTAACTTAGTTAAATCATTTATTGACTGAAATTTGTCCATTGGTAAGTTTTCTTTAGCAATAAAGTAAGCATTACGGAACAAGGTGCACATTGCGCCGTTGTCAGTCTTTTCATGAACTTTCTCAAATACTGATACAATTGGATTACTTTTGGAAGCTGTCTCTAATTTAAGAGCTTGAATGTGGTCATTGCTATTAGCATGCTCTACAACGGCTGACTTTCGAAAATTTGTCGAACCAGGCTTTACAAATTTATTTTTAAGTTTATGTTTTTGACAAATGTCACAAAACATGGCATTTAGCATACTGTCAAATCTTAACCATAAAAACAGTTGTAACCATTTATGAATAAAGCTTCTAGCATTTTTAGCAGATTTCGAATTTTGATCGGAATCGTCACGTTTACGTTTGCCCATGATGGCAGATTTGGAAAGTTCAATTTGAGACAAAGTCTTTATAACAGTCGGAGATTGTCATGATTGGATATTATTCTTTATGATTTTAATTATAAAAACAGTTTTTAATATGAAAACAAGAATAGAGAACGCCCCCCTTATTTATTGGACAACTCAGCTTGGTCTAGTTTTTCCTATATATTTTAGTAAATTTTCCCCTTGAGAGTACCCCAGTATTTAACACGATGTACAGTGTTAAATAAAATAATATATATCATACTTATTCATTTACAAATATCCTTATTTGAAGAATAACTTTTAAATATCAGGATACTTTTTAAAACTGAATGCTCATTTAAAATAATATCTATAAAGCTTAATTAAATAGGATGTTGTTCCATACACGCTTACATGTTTGACCTCGTTTACCTGATTACCTTTATGTACATTGTTATGCATCATTAATTCTATTGATAAAGACAAGCTAAGGACACCTCATCAAAGGTAACAAACCTGTAATCAGTGAATGATTTATGGCTTCAATATAACTTATTGAAGGGATAATTGTTTGACAGCTTGTTGTTATTTAAATAAAAGAAAACGTGTTTTTTCTACTTTTTATTGATGTACACAAGCTATAAAGACCAAGCCGTACATTTATGTACCCAGAGGATTAGACTAACTGAGACACTTCAAAGTATCTGAAATATGCTGCTTCTGTTTTATTAAACCCAATTATGGCCGAAATAGATTGCCACAATTATAAACTAAAATGCCCAAACGGACATGCCCAAAGCCCCAAACGGACATTTTTATCGATCGATAGTTGGTAAAAATTGAAATGACCGTTTCATGAAAATGCCTTGAATAACAAAATGTGGCACACCAATTCTATTTGACCGTTTGAGGCTGAGAGCAGCCGGTCTTTTTATGAAAGTTTCGGTCAAGTCCGGAATATATGACCGTTTTGGAAGCCCTGGTCTAAGGGTTAAAACATTAATATTTTTGGAAATGTTTTGAAATTCCATCATTTCCAATTCTCAGCACTGTTTCTTCTTTTGATGTGTAATATTCTGTTTAAATGGACAGATCATCAATTCAGAAATTGTGATGCATTGTGGGAATATGCAACAGTGTTTAGGATGTTTTTTTAATGGTATCAAAGTCATTTACTATGATACTGAGACTACACAACATAATTCATGGGTACAAAGTTATTCTGAATTTTATCTAAATATGTGCTGGAAATGTTTAAAAAATAATGTTCTTCTATTCTATTATTTGACAGTTCTGAACAATAACTCTCTCCAATATTTAGTGTTTGACTTTATTGTAAATAGTCTTAATTGTTTTGATCTATCATTGCAGGACACGTTAGTGGAAAAATTAAGACTAAAGAATTCACAGTTAAAAGTACAGAAAATGAAACTAGATCTTCAGTTCAAACAGGTACAGTATAAGTTTTTGTTTGTTCCTATGGCAATGGTCTATTTCTTTTATATAAAACTTATGATTATAAATATTAGAGTTGTCAATCAAGTGATACTCATTTCTAGCGTAAGTTTTGGAAGATTTCCATTTAGGTACACTGTGAAAAACATTTATCATCACTCTTCAATGACAATTTAAATCATTTACACAAACTAACAACAAAATTCTTTATTTGTAAATCACAGTGCCCAAAATGAGGTGATTAATTGCAATTGTTATTTTCAAACATAATATAAAAATAGAATAAAAAATAGATTAAGGTGGTACCAAACACCTTGACTAAAATTGATTTGGCTTGTTTAATTTTCATACAATTTTGACAAAATATTTACTTTGACCCTTTGAGAAAAATATAAAAATTTCAAAAAACTTGAACCACACACTTAATCGGAAAAATTTTATTGGACATATAGTAATTTGACAAACACTAAGTTTGATCATTGAGAAGCTTAACATTTCCTTAACAATAGAACGTGATTAAAACGTTGAGCTGATTTTTACAGAGTTATCGCCCTGTAGTGTTATGTACCACCTTAAACAAAGTATAACATGATTAGTTTTGATTTAATTGATTATACAACTACAAGTGTTCCTTATTTGAAGTAACACCAGGAAGAGTGGAAAAAAACACTAAAAATTCTTATTCATTAGAAAATTTCTTGACTACCAAGACGGGGATAATTACATTTCAAAGTCTCTGGATTATGTTATATCAGCTCTGTGGAAGCAAGGATTAAAGGACACTGATAGTTCCTCATTGAAAACTAACAGTATAGAAATCATAAAATATTTAAAAACACTTATTTTCTCCATCAGGCCTGTTTTGAGAAGACTTTGAAGAATAGAGAGTTGCTAATAATAATGTTTTAATAATGTCGAACTAAGTATTCTCTGGATGCATTTTTAAAAGGAAAATATAATACTGTATTGATGTTTTCACCTACTGTCCATTGAAAGTCTATCTGAATACAGCTTAAGAATACATAGAACAAGGCTTTTTAAGATGAAAATAAACCTTATCTTTTTAGAAAGAAGAAATGGGAGAGGCATTACATGAAGTTGACTTCCAGCAATTAAAGATTGAAAACGAACAGTATTTAGAAAAAATTGATGAGAAAAATACAGAACTCATGGATCTTAAACTGAAAGCCAGTAAATCATTACAAGTATTAAACTCATATAAAGTAAGTTTTCAATTTATTTAATCTTTCATTTAGAATAAATATTTTTAGAAGATATGAATGTAATTGAGCAAATGTACATGGGACTTCTTATAGATTATCTATGGTTCTGAAACCAGAGGCAGTTTCTTGGCTACAAATTCATCGAAGGACAATATCCCTGAAATGACTACAATGTATAGCCGTGTAACCACCATGAGTCGAAATACCATAGATAATCTGTTTATTGTTTCCTAGACAGTGTTGTTTTATGATGTCACTGTGTTCTCACTCTACTGGAATGAGAAGAACCATTCTCAGACGAGTTGCTTGAGAGATGAGAAGAACCATTCTCAGTCGAGTCGCTTGATATGGAAAGTTATCATATAGAAGGATCAAAGCAAAATTTAAGAAAAAAGTGATCAAACAAAATATATTCTAGTAAATAATAAAATAACAAAACATTGTTTCTACATATTCTCATTCAATTTTTACCATCTAATTATATATCCGTTAAACCTTTTCAGTTAAGAAAATAATATGTGACTGTCTTATCTTATGCATACTGACATTGATCTATTTAATCAATGATATTGCATACTTTAACGCTGATAAAGGGAAGGTAATTTAAATATAAAAAAGGGAGATGTGGTATGATTGCCAATGAGACAACTATCCACAAAAGTTCAAATGAAGTGGATGTAAGCAATTATAGGCAACCATACGGCCTTCAAGAATGACAAAAACCCATACCGTATAGTGGGCTATAAAAGGCTATAAAATTCATTATCATATAATTTGTATTTCAAGATATATATATGCACTTGTATAGATGTAACTTGAATATGGCTTTTAAAGTTGAAAAACATTTCTCATTCATGTTTTTTTAAATTTGATCATTTCAGAAAAAACTTCATACACTGACAATGGAATCAGAAAGATTGAAATCAGAAATATCATCACGGAATGAACTATTGACAAAGATAGATGCTGAAACTACAGTGGTAGAAGATGTATGTACAAATCTTAATCCACTGCTTATAATAGGATTAAAATGATATGTTTGGTATATGTCAGTGTGACAGCAACCCAAAAGTAAAAAAAACATCTAAAGGTCAAGAAACAGTCTCAACAATAGATGGGTGTCTATGCATTATGTCAAGCTCTAATTTACAAGTAGATTTGTTAAGCTAATGTTTTATAAACAACAAATGAAAGTATTAAAAGGTTTGCTAATATCTATTTTTATATTGAAAATGAAGAAAAAGTAAAAATTTATCAAAAAGTTAAAACATACAGCCAATATACAATACAAATAATAAGTACTAAAAAGGAAACATATTTAAATCAAAGAGGGTTAATTTCATTGAATGATAAAGGGAGATGTTTAATTGAATATACATTAATGATTTGATTGTATGATATATCTTTTGGTAGGAACGAGCCAAAGCTGAGAAAATAAATCGTAAACTTCGACAACAATTGACAGATTTCCGAGTGCCTGATGTGATGGATTATGTCACAGAAAAAGCTGATTTATATGAAATCCAGAGAAAAGTTAAAAATTGGGAAAGAAAAGTAGAAATTGCTGAGGTATGGAACTCAAATTAAGTAATTCTACTTTTTGTGCAACTCTAATACTTTCTCATAAAACATAACATTTGAAATAAACCCGATTGGTTCACCATCAAAGCTCACCCTATTGTGTTGATTAGTTATAGATGGGAATATTTTCATAACACATAATTATATCTGTAAAGGGATATTGCAATTTTTTTTGTGGTCCAGATCAATAAAAAGCATGCTCTTTTCAAACATGACTTCTTTCCAATTATAGAAAAAGAGAGGGACTATAACACTGGTTGCAATCATCTTCTCTATAAATAAATCTCAGCTTAGGAAGGTCATAGAGTGTAAATATTTGAAAATTTTACACCAATTTCATTTTTCATCTTCAAATTTTCCACAATTTACCTGAATTTTTCAGTAAAATACTCTAAATGCCTAGCTGCTTGATAATGTTATTAAGGTAAAAATATTTGTTTTCCTATTTACCCCTGTATATGAGTTACAGTGTTATAAATCAAATCAATGCTGCCCTGAATTTTTCGATATATACATACTACTTTTGACTATTTTCAATTCCAATGTTTGAAGATCTTTATTTTACAGATGGCACTTAAAACACATAAAAAGATGTGGACCAAAATGCAGATTGGGAGTGAGATGGCCAATCAACAATGGAGAATGATGGAACAGGTCATGTGATGACAATGGAGAACCAAGTCATGTGATAACAATGTAGAACCAAGTCATGTGATAACAATGAAAACAGTTTATTTACAAGTGTTGATCGATGAGACCTGTAATTTTCAATGGACAAAGAGAAATGTATGAATGAAAATATAAACTGTTTGAAATAAAAAAAACCTGAGTTAAAGATATGATGAATAGCTCATATTTTCCTGAGATTGTAATTACAGTTCTGAACCATTTTTTGATAAGTGCCTATAAGGGTACCTGTTCTATACAGGAAGCTACAGAAGTGCTTTTTCACTATTTCGGTTTTCAAAAATATATGCATAATGTCCTCTTTTCAAACATACGACTACTAAAGTAAGATTAAGTAAGGAAAATGTGTCAATGTGACTTCCTTCAACAATTTCTGAAAAAATAATATAAACTGGATTTGAAAACGAGGATATCTGTTCAAATGCTCATGAGATGCTAAATTAAATGCTAATGACATAAAATTAAAAAAAGTAAAAATATCCCTAAATAAAAAGTGTAACATATGTGGTATATCTTTATATGACAGAGAATTTTGTGATCAGGGGTCTTAATGAATCATATTACATTTTCCCATACAGATAAAGATTAGATAATGTTGGAGTTTTTTTACAGACACTCACCCACCAATATGATTAGGGTAATCTGTAGACATTTTACCTTTGTTTTAAATTTATAATGAATCATTATTATTGACTGTGATAAAAATAATATATAGGTACAAGTAAAAATAGGATTTCGTAAGAACAAATTTATAAACTTTGTCCGTAACCGTGAAAATGAATCTTGATAGTACTTTGTAAGTCCATTGACAGCTACAAAATTGATATATTAACAGGAAAATTTAACTGAAAAAAAAATATTTCTCTCTTCAGTGGAGCAAAAGAACACACGATTGAGAACTTCAGCAGGTAGAAATCTTTTTTCTTGAATTTTGAGTTTTGAAATATTTATTATTTTGAACTTTAAAAACAGTTATCTTCCTTATTACTTATAAATATTTAATTCTGAGAGAAATTGATTATGTATTTAGATATTTCTCTACCAGTTGTAAGTAATAAACAGTAAAATTATATTGTCTTTTGATCTTATAATGTTTTATCATTTAATTTATGTGAAAGTGTTTAGACAAAAAAACATTCCTGTATTCTGATATTTTATGATTGAATATTTTTATGCCTGTTGTCTGTGATAGCATTCTGTACATATACATTTGTTATGTAAATAAAATATGTAATATCTATGTGTCAGTGGTGATACTAATGCATCAGGATTATATTTGGAAGGTTTCTTAGACATTTGGTATTATGGTTTTACTTTATCTTTTATACAGACAGTTTGATCAGCAAGTGATGGGTTGATTTATAAGATCAATCGTTGAATAACACAATCTTGTGCTTAAAAAGGTTGATTAGCTCTTGTATAAAAGTTTCAATCAGCTATTTTGACAGTGCATGAGAATTTCCAAGAAAATTTTAATAAAGGCATCTTCTTTACCAAATGAAGTATGAAGTACAGCATTCTATAATCAATAACAGACGTGTGACTTATTGTAATATTGTCTACTGGTCATAATTAACAATTCCGGTACAGCTTTCTATAATCAATAACCGACTTGTGACTGATTGTAATATCGTCTACTGGTCGAAGTTAACAATACCGGCACTGCTTTCTATAATCAATAACGGACATTAATCAAATATCATGCAGGGGCGTAGCTGCCGTTAGGCACTTTAGGCACGTGCCTACACATAATTTTTTCACAAATATTTTTATTATTAAAAAAAATAATAAACAACGTTATCTGTAGATGCACGTGAAGATGCATCCTTAGAGAATGGAGTATTGGATAGAATTGTATGTCATTATAGATAGAAACTAAAAACTAGAACTTTGGTCCTGATCATTTCACTTCTTTCAACAAATACCTTAATGAACCTCAACATGCTCAAAACCCTGACACTTTATTCTTATAGATACATGATTGTTTTAATTAGTTGTTGTTGGCTTTCAACTAGCTTTCCACTTGGTCTTCATCCGACCTACAAAAAACCCTTGCCAAAGTTGGGAGCCTGTTTGGCTTTGCGGGATGTACAAATACACAGTCACGTCTGGTCAGAATGAGGACATTAAATCCAATGCCTAGTGTAGAGAGAATGCCACGCTTTATGCACGTTAAGAACACTTGCAACAACCCTTTGAGGGGTTCGTAGGTGGTCTGAAGAAGGGCAAAATTTCTGTTCCTATGCAATAAACTCTCATAATCCAATGCATGGCATTTCCAAATTTCCAGACCTTCATCCTGGACGACTCTTATTACAGGACCTAGATACCTGTTGCATTTATTGTAAATTTGTTTTTGTCCTGAACATGCATGAACTATTTGCAATTGGACGTTTAGCAACCAATCAATCAATCAACTAGCTTTCAGTAACTTCGAGTACTCTCAGATCTACGTGTAATGACCATAATTATTCAAATTCCTAAGCAGGTAGGGATTTTACAATACAGGATATCAGAAAATGTGAATTTCTTTAATTTTGTTAGATAGTATGAACAGAACAGAACTTCTGCATGAGGCATCGACTGTGAGTATGTATGTGTTTTTGTGGCCGGAGGGTGAAGGTTTAAGAATCAAAAGATGAATGGTTGATGCGTAGTCCAAAGGATAGTATTATTTTATAGTAGTCTTAGTGTTTGCGTGCCTAATTTTTTAATGAATATATGTACTATCAGTCAGATGTTATTGTAAAATTATGTATAATTTTTCGAACTTTTCTTCATGTATATTATCATGATAAAATGACCAGTAAATTTTATGTTTTTTTTGTCCCCCCTGAACTCCCTACCAGGGCTCTGCCCTGGACCTGCTGCGGGCCTTGAGCGGCCCCCAGACCCCCTGCCGCAAATTGTGCCTACAGTTTATTGGATACCTAGCTACGCCCCTGTATAGAGCAATATTTACAACTGTACTGGTCTCCCATTACCAACAACAGGTTTTTTGAAGGACAGATCACGATATTTCAATAATCAAAATATATCTAATATATATGTAAGACATACTATTAGTTACATGGTGTGTTAGTGACCTAAAACGATATATATGGGGTCAGTAAATTCCATATGGGATGAGAGCGAATCCCCATATGGAATTTACTGACCCCATATATATTGTATTAGGTCACTAGCACACCGTGTAAAGAATTTATCTTACCGACTATCTTCACATGTGGTATTTAGACTAGCGGCCTATCAAAGTGATTAAGTCTTCAATACTTAGTATTAAGAACCTACTTCCATTTGTCTATACAAAAAAAAATGCCAACAATAACAACTTTTTAGCTTTAAATTTGTTTTATGAATTATTTCAATCGTTCATTATCAATTTCTTCGTCTGTTGAAACCTTTCAGATTTCTTTTTTGTTTTGAAAGGGAAGTAACTCCTTACTTACCCCATATGGTAACTAACCCCATATTTTTTAGGGCACCCTTTATCAAATATATGTAGTCACCTAGTGTAGTCCTTTAACCAATTACATCCCCAGAAATCTATAGGAGGAAAGATAAATTGTAATACAAGCAACAACAGAACGTATAGTGACGTCACAGAATAAGATTATTACGTTAATTTTGAGAACATGGTAACATTAGTCTGAAACGATTAGGAGAAGTCGGCAGTAAAATGGATGATGATGGAAAACGAATGTCTTTGTATGGCAAGAGTGAAGTAAATCCAGGAGAACTAGATGGATTATGGAAAAACGTATTATCAGTGAGTATATGTTTTGCCTCGACTCTGTAAGTGTGTGTCTATATGTTTCCGTGTTACTTACATCAACAATAAAACAAATCTTTGTTCTCTGTTCAAAATATTCATGGTCTCCTGACGTATGTTCCAAATTTTTACTGGCTTTAAAAGGTAAAGTACAGAAATGACGCCCCAAGTAAAACAATTTTACATACATATCTGCAAATAGAAGATCATTTACTGTATGGTATGGTTCATGAATAGAAAAGCATGGGATTATTCAAAGGATCCCACTTAGTTCCCCGCTAACGTTAGTAAAAATGGTGAGACCTTTTTATTTTTCTATAAATTTCGGGAAAAAGATATTAATAGAGTAACCACATTTTTAAGAGGCAATGCCATATACCTCTATATAATGCATAATAAGGGTAAAAGGAATTACCGAAAAGACTGCCCACACGAAATAACAACATCCAACGACTCTTAAAGTTTTATTGTTATTCTGCAGTTGTTCATGTCATATTGAAAATATCTATTTTTAACAGAGAACGGAAAATATCAGAAGAAAACATTTGGCTACGATCGGAGATGGTTCGAGACATTGGCGAGGCATAAAACAGTGGTCAAGGTCAGAATTAGATCCTGTTTGTAATACCATATACAACCACAGAAAACGAGAAACTGTTGTAAGTATAAAAAAGAAGAATGTGAATTTCACACAAAATGATTTTCCTCTTACGATTATATGTAAATATGGGTTGGTTAGATAAGTTTCCTTTGCATATGTTTCACTAGGAAGTTCAAAATCGGAAAGTTATCTACCTTGTGGAATTCAAATATTTAAAGTCTCAAATATATTCATAAGAGACGCTGTTTCGTATTTTGCGTGAAACAAAATGAGTTTGTTCTTGAAAGGCAATACCTAAATTTACCTATTGAAATGATATTTAATCTGACTTGTTTCTGACTTGTACAGGATTTTTACCCCCCATGAGCAACACAACGGATGTTATACGTGTGGAGCAGGAGGAAGTGCTAACCCTTCCGGAATACCTGAGTTCATCCTCGGTTTTTGGTGGGGTTCGTGTTGGTTAATTTTAATTTGCTGTGTAATGTTTTGTCATTATTGGTTTTGTTGGGTTTTTTGGGGGTTTTGGCGTTATCTGTTTTATTGGATCTCTGATTTTTATTGTCTTTCCTATTTTTGCATACTCAAATTTGTCAAAATCTATCAAAATTGAAGTATAGAATTTTTGTTCGGTATTTGTGATTTGACTAAACATCAGAAATAATTATATTATAATGGATGAATATGACGCTGAGACACTCTTCGATTTTTAGTGAAGATTGAAAGACTGATTGATAACGGCCCTGGTGTGAAATAATTTCAGGGCTCTTTTATTTGATGAGTGTATTTTTTTCAGGCTGATGTATTAACAACTTATGACCGCCTTTTCCACATAAAATATGGGTATGATAGTAAATTGCATCGTGATGACAGGAACAGTATAAAAACCATCGGGTTGTCAGTTCAAGACGAGGTATATATCAAAATAGTAATGTTCAGCAGATAATCGAAAGAATTAACAAATGTACAACACTCTGATGTAGTATAAAGATTCTCAAATCCAAAGTCACCAGAAAACACACATTAACTAACGGAACAAATTTAAAAAAATGATTTTATGCATATATATATGTAACTAAATATTCTAATTTTTCTGACTTGACATTAACGACAATAATCTGAAATGCTATGTTCACAGAAATTGTTTCACCAGGTAATTACACATCCTTCGATAAGAATAGTTGTAAGACTCGTTTAACTTTCTTTGAAATCATTGTTATAACACGATTCATTTGATTTGCTATAACATCCCCTGTCCGATCATATGTATAAAAAATTCACAGGCCTGAATTTGAAAATGATTAATGAATTAGTGCACGATTTTATAGCATTTAATATTCTTGTGGCAGTGGCGCATTTAGGCGGAACCGGGACCCTTATTGTGGTACATATATGGTTACTGCGTAGTCTTTTTACATGCCATACAGCAAACGTTTTTACTGGATACTGGATCTGTATCTGGGTGACGAAAGGGAGGTGGCAGGAAGTTTTTCAAGACGAAATTCATAGTAGTTTATTTTTTTTATCAGTTCTATCAGGCAGTATATGCATTTCAAAAACCCCCCTGGCGCCTAAGTGTTTACATGAAACAGAAAAATAGAGGGTTGATATCTATTAGAACCGGTGGTTGAGTATGACTAACATATTATGAAAATCTAAAAAAAGGTATAAATGATGATGGGGATGACACACTTTTGGGATGTTGCATTAAAGGGATAAGAAAAGTACGGAAGTGGGCTATGGGGGTAAAAATGGGGGGGAGGGGGGGGGGGGGGGGTAAAAAACTTAGATCTAGGAAAAAAGATGTGGGAAGTGAAAACAAATTAAAAAAACGAATTTAGGAAGTGAGCACCCCGGTTTCACACCCTCAACGATGTCATTCAATGCAAAGATGGGTACATCTCTAACCAAAAAAGGTATCCTTGTCCTACACAATATCTATGAATAACAGCTTCTTATATATCATCACCTGATTGTATATATACTTCATACAGAGATAAATCGAATATGGTTCTTCATGTACATCGAGGTAAATAGTGCAGTAAACAAAACAGAGTAAAGTATAAAGTATCAACTTGAAGTCAAATCTTACTATTGAGACGTTTGGAGAAGCGACAGAAGTCAAATCTTACTATTGAGACGTTTGGAGAAGCGACAGAAGTCAAATCTTACTATTGAGACGTTTGGAGAAGCGACATAGTGTCACCCGTTTAAAATGCTATTATGGGGTAATGACCCGTTTACTAGGAAAAATATCTCAATAATTTTAAATATGATTTCAAATATGCTCCATTGCCCTTCACAAATTCAAATATAATCTATTATTTTTACAGGAACAACAGAGGGTTATACCTGTCCTGTCATCGTCGCATTACGGAAGTCGTCTAGATAAACCATTAGAGTCTTTTGTTAGGAAACATAGCAAAATCGAACATATATTGAAAGGCTTTTATTACAGAAGAGGAACCGGATTACCTCCCTTAGATATATAGTCAGAAAATAAACTTGTATAACGTTGTGGATTCATATGTGTTTTCGTTTTTAATTTTATTATAGATATAAAGTAAAACAAATGCTTCTGAATCTTTACCATAGTTTAACCTTCAACTTTCTCTGAGTTATATTCATTATAATCATGATCTATAATTTGTTGTTAGTTTGATTTGATAATCTTTAAGAAACTGCTACATGTGTCTGTTCGTATAGGGTTCTATGTTAAACATATTCTCGAAAACTGAGCCTCTGCTGAACAGTTTCGAAAATGATCAAAACCATCCAAAGCTGTATATAGTGGCGACCAACCGGTATACTCAGTCAAATTATTCATAAAAAATAAAAAAAAATACTTTCCACTTTTTTGCTGTTTCCATGGTAACGGTGGCTAACTGCATAGCTACACATGTGTTTCTTTTTATGGTATACTTTCATCAAGATTGGTCCAATAATACCTGAGAAATTGAGGGGACACAAAGTTTTGGACTGGTGAGGTTTTGGTGTTATGTAAACAGTAGAAATTAAGAAAGGTTTTGATTGAGATAGTTCAACCTCTAACCATAAAGTTTGTAAAATAATTTATCGACAAATCGGGTCGTTTTTAGCTGAAATAGAATCTTTTATATAAGCAGAAATTATTTTTTTCATCTTTGATATCATATGTTAAAAAGGTTTAAGAAGTCCAAATAAATCTATATACCTGTTAGTCATCAACTTCTTTAAAATCTTTACACTTAAATTAAATATGTCTAACATTAGGGAACACAACATCAAAACCTTTACATTTTGAACTAAGACAGTTTATGCAACATTGTTTCATATTATATCCTCATTCTCCAATATTCTGGAATATTATTTATACTGGAAGAAATGTAGTGTGGGTGGCGCATATTCGCCGTGGAACCATTTTCGCCGTTTTGCTATTTTTTCTGTAAAATTCGTGTGCCTTTACCCAATACTTGCCTAAATATTTTAAAGGCTGTTTGTAATGTTCGAATGGTTGATATTCCTCTTTACCCCCATTTCCAAGGTTATTCGCACATATACAGAAATTCGCAGGTGTTTTAGACGATTTTGGCAATTATGTTAGATTTATATGATCTTATATGGCAACCATGCGCAGTCTTAAAAGAAAATATTTGTGAGAAAAATCGTATAGGAATGATCTCTCAAGCTAATTCATGTAATTGCAAACATTCGTTTTTATAATATACCAGGATAATGAGGATGGTCATATCATACATTGCGGCGAAAATGTGTCCCCCATGGTACACGAACAACTTAATTTCCTCTTGAGTTTGCGTTTATTTTTAGAACAATTAACCAATGTTTTGAAGATGATTCCTTTCAAACATTTTTTTCATATAGTAAAATTTCTGAAACCTACATAAAAAGTTCCAAATATTCGAATGTAGGTTGGATGTAAGTGGAAATGAACAAATTATGCGGCGAATATGGGTCACTCACTCTAACAATATTTGTTCCTTACGGAATGAATGTTATACACATAGACATATATCATAGCATTGCTTATAACAAAGTTTCCAGATTGTTAGGAGGAACAAAAATACGTTGACACGACACGTTACAAGTACTCATCTTCATACAAATATAATTATAAGACAATAACAATGACACAAGGTCAAATTGATTAACATTGATTACAAGTTAATTTCGAACTTTAAAAAAATCTCTTATCAAAACCATGATGCACATTTGTATATTAATGAAACAAAAATCAACTTAATGAATCTATATTATCCGTCAAATTATTTCTCTTGAGCATATTCGGGTCATATTTTCTACATATGTACATTGTAGGATAATATATTTCTTGTTTATGATATAAGTGCCATTTTAAAAAAACGAAAGAAAGTTTACTGAAGCTTCGCCGCCTATAAACTAAGAACACAGTAAGGAAGCAAAGTCAGCACCGATCGTTATTGATAATTGATGATATATGGACGTCAAGTATAGGATCAAGTTTTTTCTCTGAGAAACTATTCATAACTATTAAAGGAAGCAAAGGAATAAATACAGAAAAATCAAGGATAAACGTCAAAGGGTCTGAAACAACAATAAAACAACTTAAAAAACCGTAATAAAAAAATGAGAAAAAAACCCGTGTTAGAACAATGAAGTAGTGTCGGACTTTTGTGCACTTATAGTAAGTAGACAATCACTCGCTGTATTTTGCCAAGTGCGAATAAATTACATCTCCGTTATTCTCTTAATAATGTTAGCAGCCCTCACACCTTATTATTTTTGGTGAAAATCGTGAATTTTGTTCATCAGCGAATGATGTGAAATTCGCGAACAAACAAAATATTAATCAACTCTTTTAATGTTTTTCGATTTGTGATTCCAGGATTTATTGTTTTTGTTATTACACTGACTGAATTTCCGTGTTCCACGTATAGTCCTTAGCATAGTTTAATTTCCGAAACCATAAGTTTTTCTTCTTCGATCAGGTCGTTGTTTTCATGTGACTATAACGATTTATACGGAAGCAGGTTAGAGTTTAATTTTGAATCGTTACCACGACTCGGTAACTCGTTATGACGACAAAGCTTACGCGTTATAACAACTGATCTAACTCGCTATCAAGATTAACCTAACTCATTACACTTGTTATCACGACTTAGTTACTCATTATAACGACATATAAAATAAGGAGATGTGGTATGATTGCCAATAAGCCTATAGATTGCTCAAGATTAACTTAAGTCGTTATAGCGAGTTAATAAGTCGTGAAAACAAGTAAGCCAAGTCGTTATAAGGATTTACTAAGTCGTGATAACGAGAAAGCTTGTAGCCTTGATAACGAGTTAGCTTAGTCGTTATTACGAGTATCTAAGTCGTGATAACGAATCGACTTAAAGTGTATATATACTACACCCTGATTCTCATAGATTTAAAAGTTCTATCTTTTTAGGTTTCAAAAATAAAGGAAAATATTTTTTTTGGAAATGATTATTCGTGAAAAGGTTTACTTGTTTGTCAACTTAAAATAGAGGACATCTTGATTTTTGTACGTACATGTGCTGTCTTCTCGATGTATTCACAAATAATGTTCATATCGGAATAATTAAGTATAACCAGAGGCTCTAAAGAGCCTGTGTCGCTCACCTTGGTCTATGTGCATATTCAACAAAGGACACTCTCCAACATTGTAGACGAGAATAGAATACATGACAAAATCTCTGTTTGTTGATCTTGTATTGCTGATCATTTTGTCTGTTTAGGTTCTCTCTATTTTCTTTAGTTTTTGCTCAAAACACAAAAGAGGGTAACAAAAATCCTCATTTAAGCGCAATCACTCCTATAAAGAGGGACAGTCTACTAACTATATCGGCAAAACTTGACTTGTTAGTAGATCTTGCATTGCTGATCATTTTTGTGATTTAAAGTGTTTATTTATCTATTTTAAATTTTTATTATATAAGGCAAAACGCAAAAAAAAAATGGTAAAAAATTGTCAATTGTAGATCTTGTCTTCCTGAGCATTTTTGCTTATTTAAGTTTCTATATATCTATTATAATTTTTAAGATATAAAGCAAAAACGCAAACAATTGGAAAAAAATGTCATCAAAGGGCAATAACTCTAGTAAGGAGTCGACTGACGATTTCGACCATATCACTTGTTTGTAGATCTTGTCTTGCTGATCAATTTTGCATTCTAAAGTTTCTCTCCATCTATGATAGTTTTCAAGATAATAGGCAAAAATGAAAAAAAAAAATGATAAAATTTGTCATTTAAGGGCAATGACTCCTATAAGAAGTTGTCTGACAGTTTTGACGTATACGGACAATTAGTACAGCTCAACATTCTTATCATTTTTGCTTCTGTCAGATTATCTCTTTTATAACGGATTTCAAAATAATAGACAAAACTTGCATTTTACCCCTATGTTCTATTTTTAGCCATGTCGGCCATCTTGATTCTTAGACGGGGTCATCGGACACATTTTTTTAAACTACATACCCCAAAAATGATTGTGGCCAAGTTTGGTTAAGTTTGGTCCGGTATATAGTTTCAGAGGAGAAGATTTTTGTAAAAGTTTACGGACGACGACGACGACGGCGGCGACGACGGTCGACGGATGACGGACGCCAAGTGATGAGAAAAGCTCACTTGGCCCTATGGGCCTGGTGAGCTAAAAATAAGGAGATGTGGTACAATTGCCAATGAGACAGCTATACACCAATGACAAGATTGTGAACAACTATAGGTCACCTTCAGCAATGTTCAAATTATATATATATATATATATATATTTTTATGAATGATGCAACTACATTAACAACGTCTTCACAGCATCTATTGTTATATTCGTATGAGAAGTCAAATATCAGGATTTATTTCACACTTGAAAAATCGGTTTTTTGAATCTCACAGTATTTCATTTCAATCCAGGTAATGAAACATACTGTAACATGATGCGGTGGAATAAAAGGTGTGATACCGTTTATCCCTATTTAAAAGATTTAAGTGTATGTAAATTGATCTATTTAAGATAAAACGGGTCACTTCCATATCAAACAAATATGAGTTAAAAGTTGATAAATATGAAAGTTGTTGAAATATTGAAAACCGATGAAAACAGTAAACTCGTGAACTGAATGATTTTTTTTTTAAATTTGACTACTATATCTATAAAAAAAACATGTTTATTTATTTGTTTTTTTTTGTTTGTTTTTGTTTTTGTTTTTTTTATTACTTATTAGCTAGTTTTAATACTCCTTGCTTCGCATCTTTTATGAAACTTGACTAGTCTGATAAACAAAACAATTTTCTTCTCTTCGTTTAACATCTTTCAAATTTAACCTTCCACGCGTTTTAAACTACATATACTATTGCTTAATTATAATTAAATTTTTACCATACTTATCAATCTTCTCGTCAGACCAAATTGCAACACATGGACGAGGAATTCATGATAAGATTGATGAAAGAATGTATGACTTTTTCTATAAATGTCACCTTCATGTCATGTAGGCGGGGACTAAAATGCGTTTGTTTTTAACTTTTGTACTCTTTATTTTTTTTTTAAATCTGTGTTACCAGGTAAAACTTATATGATTTAAGAGAACCTTTCGGTAATTATCAAGAAAAATTACTTAACGAGTTTACAGTTAATGCAGACATAATGTAATTCAAGTTTGTAAAACTGCTACTGTAAGGAACACTAGGCACTCAGTTTCATGGTTGTATATTATCCATACTTAAAATCCGAATAATCTTCAATCATTCAAATTTATTGCCTGTATATTGTGATATCTCAATATGCAAGCTTGAAAAATAACTTCAAATAAATACCATTGCATGATCCATGAAGCATTAATTTTTATAAGCCATGAAGATTGAATGTAATGAGCTAAGAAGCATTACACGTTGGTGTAAAATCCTTTTATATATACGATGCACACCAGATATAAGTATATATACATTTCATTATAAAATGAATATGTTGTACTGCAGCATTCATATAGAAGAGCTACATATCATGACATTTTGGCTATATTTTATTCCAATTATATGAACAAAAAGAAATTTGTGTCGTTGGATTGATGTCCCATTGATGAATACCCTCGCATTTCTTTTTATCAATATGTAGGTTTGCCTAAAACTATATGACTAAAATGAGCATACAAACAATTGCCAATTTCGCCAAAAGTATAAAAATGGAGTGACACCGAACATAATGTCTGTACAAAAATTAACAGAACGTGGTTGTCTGAGGGAATACGAACCTTATATCTCGGATAAAATGTTTTTTAAAGTAGCAACATTCCAAGGTTGTGATCAATCACTTTTCGACTGAGTCAAATATTGATTGATTGATTGGTGTTTAACGCCTCTTACAAACACTATTGTACTATTTCATGACAGTAAGATTTTATTGGCAGAGGAAGCAGGAGCGCCCGGAGAGAACCACGACCTTCGGTAGGAAAACTGATAATCCGTGTAGTCCATTAAGATTGGAATAGACCACACCTGCCACGTGCGGGATTCGAACTGACACCCTCAGTGTTAACAGGCTATAGTGATACAGTATTTGGACTACTTAGACAACTCGGCCACCGAAGCCCCCAAGTCAAAGAATGATTCTTGAATTTATATAAACTTGACGATCTTCGCTTTACTGTTACGTTTAAATCTCTTGATATAATATAAAAAAGAAGATGTGGTATGATTGCCAATGAGACAACTCTCCACAAGAGACCAAATGATACAGAAATTAACAACTATAGGTCACCGTACGGCCTTCAACAATGAGCAAAGCCCATACCGCACAGTCAGCTATAAAAGGCCCTGAAATGATAATGTAAAACAATTCAAACGAGAAAACTAACGGCCTAATTTATGTACAAAAAATGAACGAAAAACACTGAAATGTGTAACACATAAACAAACGACAACCACTGAATTACAGGCGCCTGACTTGGGACAGGCACATACATAAAGAATGTGGCGGGGTTAAACATGTTAGCGGGATCCCAACCCTCCCCTAACCTGGGACAGTGGTGTAACAGTACAACATAAGAACGAACTATTAAAATCAGCTGAAAGAGGCTTAACTCATCAGATGGATAAAAATACAAATACTACAAATACAAGTGGACGTGGCCGGGTCAAGTTTCATTCAATTGACACATAACACAGAAATCGCGTAGTCTTGAAATTACTTATGATATTTTTTTGTTGTTTTAAAACAGTTATGGGTTGATGTCTCACTGACCTTAACCAAACATATCTTTTTATTTGTTTAGGGAAATATATCACAGTAAAATACTAAATGTTATCTCAGTATTTTAAATAAAATTAAAATACATGATCTCTTTTTTTTTTATCTCACTTAATCCAAGAAAAAGATATCCTAAGATTTATAAATATGTATAACATGCAAATTGAAAGCATCTCAACATTTTCGTTAAATTTATGACTAAAATACCACGCACTATTTATCTTTTTATCTGTATTAAACATCTGTTATACTCTGGTTGTACTTGTCATGTCGGAAATAAGTGGTGAAGTAAAACGCATAAATTCTGATATTTGTAATTTAATTGAGAAAAGAAATAGACACAAATACTATTAAAGATATCTTTATTAAATGCAAACGAATAGGCAAATATGTAAGTAACACGTCGGAAAAAAGGGGCTATCGTGTATTTTTTTCCACCACATATTCTCTTTAAATGTTTCTTTTTAAAACCTTTGGTTTTATTTATTTATCGACTAATAACAAAAAAAAAAAAGAATCACGCAACAAAAAAATAAACAAAATGCAATAATTTTGATATCAACCTTCACACCCCATTGCCGACGACATGGATCATTCCACTCATTCATTCATTCAAACTACTGTAGTAGTAACAGTGGCGCTGCTCTGTTTACGTTGATCCAGGCAAATCTCATTAATTAATCTAACGGATTTAAAAATAAAACTTATATAATGGGTAAAAAAGAGAAAAATATTACTGTAGAAACTAAAAAGTTATATTCTGATGATCCAGGATTAGAAGTAACGATTGAAAGAGAAGTAAATGAAAAACCACGTGTTGCTTGGGATTCTAAATTACAATATTTTTTTATGGTTATATCCTACGCTGTTGGATTAGGAAATGTCTGGAGATTTCCTTACCTCTGTCAAAGAAATGGAGGAGGTAATGTATAATTTATATTGTGTGTAAATTCTGTCAAAACTAATAAGGGGGGAGCTAATCAACCGAAAATTTATTCGTTTTGTTGATATGTTTAGTATATACATCGGTAATTTGATACTTGAATCAATATTTAAATGGGAACAATTTCAAAGAAAAGGATTTGTTTGATAATCTTTTTTCATTTTCTTTAAATTTAATCCTCACATATTATTATGCAGTCAGATTATTTCTTCCTGATCTTGCATGAACTATTTGCCACTGGACGTAAAGCAACCAATTATCAATCAATCAACCAAGCAGCCAATGCGATATTCTTCACAAGACTTCTTAATTATGTAAAAATAAAGATATTTGGTATGATTACCAATGAGACAACTATTCATTAGAGGATGTAAACAACAAGCACACATGTATGTCATGTATGTGTAATTTTTTCTTAGAACAATAGTACACATAAAGCTGTCGAGTTATCGGAGTATTCCATTTTAATGTCCTGTTGATGGATGTTTGATTTAGACAATTAATTTGGTGATTGTACATAAATGCCAAGCCGAATCCTTAGTGTACACATGTGTTAACTTTGTGATAAAAACTCCCCACACTGATGAACAATTATAATACTTATTATTTTGTTCTATAAGAACATAATAAATGGACAGGCCATTCATTCCCTTAACAGACCCTCTTAAGTAATAAATATAACACACGTGTGCATGTTTTCTAAGAAGATGGGTTACATTCCTTCGCCACCAGAAAACCAAACTATTTTCTGCACACATATATATATATATATAATTCATGAAATATTCTACGCCTACAGTTGACTGCATTATTTCTGCAGAAACCATCGTTCAGACACTATTTTATTTTGTATTTTCTCAGAAAATCAAGATGTAAACAGCTGCTACAGACAAAACAATGTAGTATTGATTTAGCTCAAAATCGATCCCGCCATTTTCACAACATGAACAAAAATACTTGACCGAGTTTCTTTTTATTTGTTTACTAGAAGGATATTTTAAATCGCAAAACATTTATTCAATATAATATAATAGCATTTTTTACCGTTTAACTACACACCTTTTGCGAACGGTTAGATCCAGAATTTAAATTATTTATATTTTAGTTGCTAGTAACTAATTTTGTTTACAAAGATCTGGTCAGTGAGGTCAACTTATCAGATGGGAGCATATTGACCGGAAGCTTCAAGTTTACTTTTCTGAACCTGGCCTTAATTGTTAAGGGGATGATTAGTTTTATCGTTGTGACAGGACTTTAAATAGTTTGTATAGTGACACGTGAGACAAGCACACTGTTTTAAGTGCATCGTTCAAAACCATATTTGATGAATCGGGTTTAAAAAGGAAAATTGGTGCTCCAATAATGCCTTGAGTTTTTGTAATTATTTTTTCCATCAAACTCACTATACTTACGTTCCTTGTGATATACGTTTACCCTTCTAAAGGTCATCAAATGTGTTTGACCTTAGACTATTCTTATTATGCCATTTTGGCTTTATGATTTCAAACATGTTATATTTTAGCTCTCTCGGTCACGAGCCCTCTCCAGTCGAAGGTTTTTACGAATTACATGCTAAATTTTAGCTCTCCAAACATTTCATCACGAGCGCTCCAGATTAATGTTTTTAACAGAAACACGTGTTGAGAACGTTCAAGGGCCTATTTGTTCTAACTCTAACTCTTACCTGTACGCGACATCTTTACACTTAAAGGGGCATTAGCTGCCAAAAACATGTTCACCGATTTGACGCAAACTATTGAGAATTACAAAAAAACAACAACAAAAAGCTTTTTAATAGTTCTTTAGTCTAATCTGAATTAGTCAGTGTCCTCTTTCATTTTCATTCCATAATTTTGATTTGTTTTACTTCAAGTGGCAAGAATTGTATTCAAATTCAGTGAACTATTAGATATTTCTAATTTTGAACATGCGTTTTAAATTGTTTTCATTGATAAGGACTATTATAACTTATCTCTGTGATATATTCGATGTTAAAATTGTCGGGATATGGAACATCACACTGAACAAAGCTTATATAGGGTTTCCGATAGGACCGGTATATACGTGTTATATTAAAATTTTGCCTTTGGCAATTCATAATTAAGTTTTAAATGGTGTTTGCTTATATCGTCCAGTGGCAAATATGTCCTGCGTATTCAGGCAATTTTTTTACCCAAGCATATGCGTTATTATAAACCTATTTTATATAAAAATTCCATGCGGCGCAGAAAGGACACGTTTAACTTGAATTATGGTGATCATAACCACGAGAGGGTACAAAGAGGAATAGAATTAGCTCCCAATATTTCGACTTAGGGTACGCTCTCTATTTAGGGGCATTCGTTTGACAGGGCGGGATGTATAAATACATAGACATGTACGGTCGGAATGGGACTTTTACATCCCATGCCTTTTGGCATGATTGACGGGAAACTGCATATAAAAGAACATTGCACCAACTCGTTAACAGATTCCTATATTTATACGTTCACTGAAGTTATATTGGTTAACAAAACTTGACAGATACAAGTAAGTCCCTGTGGTCCTTCTAGCATATCCTTAATTGTCTAAGTCTAAGAACGATCTGCGAAGCAATCATTCTACAGAAAATCATCATTCATTTTTTTCAGGAGCATTTCTCATCCCTTACCTCATTATGTTGTTCATCGAAGGAATGCCACTACTTTACCTCGAATTTGCCGTCGGACAGCACTTCCGGCGAGGCAGCATCGGCGTTTGGACGAAAGTTCATCCTTATCTCGCTGGCATTGGCGTTGCCAGCGCTGTGACATCATTTATGGTGGGCATATATTACAATGCCATTATAATGTGGTGCTTTTATTATGTTGCCAACTCCTTCCAATATCCACTACCGTGGTCCGACTGTGAACGAATTAACGGTACAATAAAAGATATAGAGTGCGAAAAAGGAGGACCGACTTCGTACTTTTGGTACAGACAAGCTTTAGACATTTCGCCAGGAATCGACGAGAGTGATGGCATCAAATGGAAAATGTTACTATGTCTGCTGTTTGCCTGGGCAGTTATTTATGCCTGTATATGGAAAGGCATAAAGTCCTCAGGCAAGGTATGATTAACTAGACTTGAATCGCACTCAGTACGGGGTTGACTGTTGCATTCAAACCCAATCAGGTTTTTATTTATCAATTTTTAATTCGTTTTAACTTTGGGCCAAGTGAGCTTTTCTCATCACTTGGCGTCCGTCGTCCGTCGTCCGTCGTCCGTCGTCGTCGTCGTCGTCGTCAATTAACTTTTACAAAAATCTTCTCCTCTGAAACTACTGGGCCAAATTTAACCAAACTTGGCCACAATCATCATTAGGGTATCTAGTTTAAAAAATGTATCCGATGACCCGGAACGCCAATCAACATGGCGGACATGGCTAAAAATAGAACATTGCAGATTTTGGCTCATATATCTGAAACTAAAGCATTTAGAGCAAATCTGACACGAGATAAAAATGTTCATCAGGTTAAGATCTATCTGCCCTGGAATTTTCAGACAGATTAGACAACCCGTAGTTGGGTTGCTGCCCCTGAATTGGTAATTTTAAGGAAATTTTGCAGTTTTTGGTTATTATCTTGAATATTATTATAGATAAAGATAAACTGTAAACAGCAATACTATGCAGCAAAGTAAGATATACAAATAAGTCAACATGACCAAAATGGTCAATTGACCCCTTAAGGAGTTATTGCCCTTTATAGTCAATTTTTAACAATTTTTGTAAATTTTTTAGATCTTTTACAAAAATCTTCTCCTCTGAAATTACTAAGACATATTTAACCAAACTTGGCCACAATCATCATTAGGCTATCTAGTTTAAAAAAGTGTGTCCGATGACCCCGTCTAACCAACCAACATTGCGGACATGGCTAAAAATAGAACAGAGGGGTTAAATGCAAGTTTTGTCTATTATTTTTTGAACCGTTATAAATAGAGAAAATCTGAATGGAGCAAAAATGTTCAGCATAATGAGCTCTACCAATTTTCCATATACGTGAAAACTGTAAGACAAATTCTTAAAGGAGATATTGCCCATAAATGACAAATTTAACTATTTTTTTTTTCATTTTTGCCTATTATCATGAAAACTATGATATTTAGAGAGAAACATTTTTTTCCGTTATGCCTTATATGATTTAAATTATAATAGATAAAAAAACACTTTAAATCACAAAAATGATCAGCAAGGCAAGATCTGTTTTGAAGTCAAATTTCGCCGATATTGTTAGTAGACTGTCACTCTTCATAGGAGTGATTGCCCTTCATTGAGGATTTTTTTACCCTCTTTTGTGTTTTGAGCAAAAACTAAAGAAGATAGAGAGAAACTAAACAGATTAAAAGATCAGTAGAACAAGATCAACAAAATAGAGATTTTTGTCATGAAGTCTATTCTCGTCTACAATGTTGGAGAGTGTCCTTTGTTTGATATGCACATAGACCCAGGTGAACGCAGGCTCTTTAGAGCCTCTAGTTCATTTTGATAGAAATGAAAGGATATTATGTATCAATTCATTACACAGTCACCGCAAGCACGTGTATAAGAAAAGAAAAGGAACAGCGCTTTTATTGCTGTTCTTCTTCTCAAAGTCGCAATGAGGCCTTCAACATGGGACAAAACCCACCTTACTGCAAGTTCAAGACAGCTCCTTACACCGGAATGAGCAGAATTCTGTGTTACATGTTGACCCTGCTACATCTGTACATTGACCACCATGAATGAATTGCATCTGCCTCTCTTGCATACGGTTATTTTTGGGCCTTTTATAGCTTGCTATGCGGTATGGGTTTTGCTCATTGTTGAAGGCCATATGGTGATCTAAAGGTGCTTACATCCACGCCATTTGGTCTCTGGTGGATAGTTGTCTCATTTGCTATCATATCGCCTCTCTTATTTTATAGAATATGCCTTCCGTGTTCATTTTCAACCGTACTGCAAACAACAGAAGTACATGTCCATTGGAACTTCTGTTAGGCGGAACAAATATACGTTTACAGCCCGAGAGTACACCTATAAGCATGATTTAACGAATATGCCCGAGAGTACACCTTAACATGATTAAGCGAACAAATAGTTCTCAATCATTATGTTTATCGTTCATTTTGCTGTAGAAAACAGATCAGCTAAACATAATCATTTAACATTTTGATTGTAAACAAACATTCCGACATTCCTTTCTATTCTGAGATAGAAAGATTTCTGTGAGATAGACAAAAGTTATCTCTGGTTACGCAAGTAAACGGATTCAAACTGAATTACATGTTATTTTAGTAGATGTAGTTTTTATGTGTTTTGTCAATGATTAATAGAAAAACAAAGGATTTGGGGTATCCATCAATGACACAAAATCAGTACATGCTAAGCAAAAAACACACAAAAAGCGAAGAAACAGCGCTTTTGTTACTGTTCTTCATCTCAAAGTCACAGTAAGACCTTCAACACGGAGCAAAAAAAAAAAAAACTCTCACCTCACTGTAGGTTTGAGTCATCTTTCTGATAATTATAACAACGTTTAACATCAAGGTTCCAATTATCAATGATAGTTTGCTATTTTAGACTGTTGTTTGCCGACTGGTCGCTTTTCGTTTTTTTGGCATGACATTGTCAGTTCGTCTCCGTTTTATGAGTTTGACTATCCCTTTGGTATCTTCAACCTTTATTTTTAGGCCCTTTTTGAATGATTACCACTTCTACATTTATACATCTCCGACTTTCCGAACTAATGGCTCTGAGCGTATCATATGATTGTTAAAAGGGCGGTTTGAACTTTTTTAATTACAAAATTTTGTACTAGTATAAGTCCTAATTTATTTTTACAAACATGATACATAGATATAGGAAGATGTGGTATGAGTGCCAATGAGACAACTCTCCATCCAAGTAACAATTTATAAAAGTAAACCATTATAGGTCAAGGTACGGCCTTCAACATGGAGCATTGGCTCACACCGAACAGCAAGCTATAAAGGGCCCCAAAAAAATTTCTAGTGTAAAACCATTCTAGTTTCAAACCCCATTGATTAAATTAACACACAATGAACGAATGGATTTTTTTAATACATTTTACACCTGTTTTCATAACATTTTGTGCCTGTAATAAGTCGGGGTATCTAGACTTGTATATTGTTCTTTGTTGTATGTTTGTTTTGCCTTTTTATGAATATCACACCGCTATATTCTTATGGTTTATTCACATTTCATTATATGATCAGTTGCTGGTTTCTCCGATGCCTATAGGCTTGAAAAAGTCACGTGGGTCAAGTGTGTGAAGCAACCACTGTGAAGCAACCAGTGGTTGCAGTATCATACAATCTTTTTAGATCACTGTGGTTGTGATTGAGAAATAAGCTTTGCGAAACAAAGTTATTTGATGAGAGGATAGAAAAATGCCTTCAATTTGTTTTCTAAAGTAATGTCATTTCACAACAATAAAAAGATTTTTCAGTCCTGAACTTTAAATAACAAAACTAAAAGAACTTTAAAAACCTTAATATTTAGTAATGACTGAAATGTTTTATGTATGTATAGTCTATTCTAGCTCCACTTATACATAAAGCTATAAAAATTAATTAAATATTTTCAAATGATATATTACTCCCATTTATAAATCTGACTTGTGTCTTATGTGGTACACGATCCAGCTAATTATAGAGGAATCGTTATCACTGATAACATTTATAAATGACTTGGATACACTATGATTTTTATACTCGCTGCTTCAATGAGGGGGAGGTATACATGCAGTGCTTGATGAGTTCGTCTGTTCGTTCGTCCATCCATCCGTTCGTCTGTTCGTTCGTCCGTCCGCCCGTTGGTCAGACTGTTTGTTCTTCTGTCCTACATTGGTACCCACACTTGCTCCTGAACGGCTTGACATACTTTTGTGAAACTTTCACAGAATCTTGCTTACATAATTAACTTTAGCACCTCTATTGCATATATTACAAGGTTTATATGGAAATGGATCAACTGAATAGGAAAACATATGTTTGCCATATAGCCAAATTATGAGGACATGCACGAATCGTGAATATTTAATTTACATATTTGTGCAGGTTACCAAGAATCCCAGAATTGTTATATCATTTATTTAATTTACAGTACTTGTACAGGCAAACAAGAATCCTGGAACGGTCGTATCATTAATTTAATTAACAGTACTTGTACACGTAACCAACAATCCTGGATAGGTTGTTTTGTTTAAGAGTACTTGTACAGGTAACCAATAATCTCGGATAGGTTGTAGCATTGCCTAATGACCATTACTTATACAGGTCACCAAGAATCCCGGATAGTTTATCATTACTTTAATCTATAGTTTTTTTACGATTAACATATTGTATCAATGCTTTAATTTACAATACTTATACAGGAATGTCAATGATTTGAAACTTATATAAATAAATTAAAGTTTGGTTTAAAAGAAATTGTTGACAAGATATGGTTAATAGAGATAATTTACATAATTATTCAAGAAAACATTACCCATGTTAGAGTAAATTATGTATATATTATATGTTTAGGAATACGATTCAGCTTGAAGTTTAGAACCTTATTTAATTAAATGCAAAAACAAGAACGATGAGGAAAAACAAAGTTACAGCATGTTTAGAATAAACTCAAACAAACTTCTTACGTCATATGAAACTAGGGCATTTTTGTTTTTATACGGACTTTATCAGCAAGAATATCAAAAGAGCCCGCTAAAAATATATGCCAAATGGAAACTACAAATTGCCGAAAAAAAGAAAGTTTATGTGAGCTTGATATTTTAAACGTGCTAATAGATATAAGAAGATGTGGTATGAGTGCCAATGAGACAACTCTCCATCCAAGTCAAAATTTATATAAGTAAACCATTATAGGTCACAGTACGGACTTCAACACGGAGCCTTGACTCACACCGAACAGTAAGCTATAAACCTTTATATAACAGGATAAAAAAAACCTACTACTGATAACCCTATGTTGACGGAATATATGCATAGATAAACATGAAAAGGTTCAAAAGTAGAATTTCTTGCTAAAAAAACACACGATTAAATGTTCGGAAAATGTAAAATTTACATGACCTTACTACGAAACAGGGGACAATTTAATAGAGCTGACTTTCCGAGTGATCAACAATTCTATATATCTTTGACATTGCAGTAATATCGCATATATGTCCAATTCGTCGCTCTTGTAATCTTATCAGCTTTCTTGATTTGACCTAAATTTGATGGAAAATAGTTATTTCGAAAGAAAAACAAATTAAAGTACAAAGATATGTTTCTAAACCAGTTTATAGCTCATCCATAATCGCCTTTGATCATCGTTTTCGTTTAATTAAATACTATCTTTTACGGATTCTTTGTCTCTGGGAACAACCTGCAGGCGGATATGAAAGTCACGGCGCAAAAATATAATTTCCCGCCATTCATGAACATAACATTTGATTCTAGTTAAAATGCAGATCAAAGTGAATCTTGTATAAATGCATAACCCATGCACTAAACATGTTATTGAAGTTTAATGTATAAAATACCTTTGTTTTGATAAATGAACTATCAAAACATAAACATTTCATTGCATTTAAAAGTTCAATCAACAAGTTTTGTAATAAACAGTTCCATGCACCAAATTGTCTAAACTGTTATTATTTATACAGATTAAAATATAATACACGATTATTATAATATCTTAATCTTCTTGTAAGATTTTCGAAAATGACGATACAAACGAAACGTTTTATAATATTGTCGTCTGCAGTTAAAATACATTACTAAAACTTAACATGCCATTGCGTTTATACACGGTACTTAATTTTTGGCATTAAACAAGTTCATACTTTTCGTAGACGACGGTGTTTTGAAATAAATCAAAATTCGTGTAATTTTGAATTGAAAGATGACATATATTTTCAAAAGATATTACATAGATATAGCAGGATGTTTTAGCTTTGACTAAAATATTTTGTAAACAAGAATATATGGACACCATACCCGATCACACTATCACATTTACAGGCAACATGCGTCCAAGCTTTTGGTATCTTAATACCTAAACGAAAGACGACATTTCGGTTCAATTTCTCTTTCCCGTTCTGATTAATTGTCAATAAAACATTGACAATGTAGTACATGATTAATATTTATCTAATATCAAATATGAATTTAATTTTTCATTGGTGTAAACGTTGTTAAGTGTCATTCTAGTTTCAAACCCGAATTATCAATGTTTAAGTTATTCAATAAACTGTGCTATTTAAAAGTTATGTGCAAATGTATATCTTACTTTCATGTTACCAAGAAAAAGGGATTAAAACTGGTTAAACTGAATTTTCTGAAATATTATTTTTTGCATAATGATGTTAAATCTGGAAACAATGATATACACAGAACATTGTTCTCTTCGTACTTCAATTTCTTAGTTTTTATGTTGTTACTGATAGTCCTAAGCATATAACCTTATCGAAATGTAACAAATTTTCACCAACTATTCAATTCTATCTTTCCTTTTGAATAGAAAAACGAGACATCAATTGCAAGTTGACCACAGATATGTTCAACTTGTCAAAGATACAATCCCGCTCTCTTTTCGTCGAATGTAACTTTCCGAATGCACCTTATCGCCGATTTTTTTCTTTAATGAGTAAGACGACGGTTGCAACTAGTGGAGCAGGAACTGCTTACCCTGCCGGAGCACCAGAGTTGACCCCTGTATTATGGTGGGTTTCATGTTGTTCAATCTTAAGTTTATTTTCTGTGCAGTGTTTTTTAGACTTATTTTTCTTTTCGTAGTTTTTGCCATTGTGTTGTATGTGTTTTTATATGACTTTTGGTTTTTTATTGTTTCCTTAGTCTCGTATCCCTTTTTAAATAAAAATCGGATTTGAAAAGTTGAAGACATGGATAATTATGAAAAAAACTTTATTTAAAGGTCTATAGTTACTTTGGTATGAAAACAATGCATATGCGTGTATAAAATAATTTGTATCATATTTTGATTCATCAAAAAAATAAATCAACGAAATGAAGGCATAAGAACCTGAACCAGTTGACACCTATATGTGTTTACATTCATGTAATGCTAATTGTGGTTCTGGTTCACTCGTCACCCACTTCTTGCTGCATGAACAAGAATAATAGTTATCTATACGTTATTAAAATGATACCATTTTCGAATCTCCATTCACGAAATTTCTTTTGTGATATATCTGTTCCTATCTCATTTTCGCAAATATAGTTATGAATTGAACGATTGACTTTATTTTAAAATGGGGTTGTCACCTTCAAAAACTAAATTATAACTGTTATTAGAATGATTTGAACCTAACTATTCCATATCTAATGTAATCGCGTCTCAAAGAATTCAGGCATTTATTTTGGAGGTCAATATAGAAAATGTATACTACATATACAATAATAGCCTTTGTATGAGGTCGATACGAGGATATATCGACCTGAAAGAAGTATATTGAATGAGGACCAATTCCGAGGTCGATATATATATAGATTCTACCACTGCATCGAGTGTGATACGATATTTATCCACTCGAGACAGTTAAATTTTCACAAATTTAAAAGGCGAGGCTCGCCCAGCGTTTTAAATATTTAAAATTTAACTGTCGAGAGTGGATAAATATCGTATTACACGAGGTTTGGTGGTGGAATCTGTTTTCTCTAATGATTTTCAAACAATACGCAGGCAAATTCATTCCTTCTTTTCGAATGATCTGCAAAAAGATGTGTTCTTTCTATGTGACGTCATCAGACATGGTCGCCTTTTTTCATGCCGTCACAATAGGAAATTCAGAGGAAAGCAAGAAAATTCGACGTCATAATCGGATTTTAACCAATGAAGAACTGAGATCAAACGAACCACACGTTGATTAAATTTTTTTTATACAATGGGTGCAGAAAGGGATAAATTGACGAAGAATAAGAGAAATCCTCTTATCATATACTTAGAGTAAATAACTTAAATTTTTTACAGTATGATAAAAGCATTAAATTTACGTAAATTCCATATTTTCCGAAATGGTGTTGAGCGGGCTGATATGAAAAATTTATCACATGCTTCTGACTATTATCACATGCCTTTCCAAAACGTTATCGCATGGCATTCCGGCGATACTCGGCAAATTCCGAAAAATACACCTCAATGGTACGTTTTCAGTGAAAAACATTACAAATTAGGGTCCAAAACAATTATTTGGAAACAGGAGAATATGTTATGTAACATGCAAAAAAAAAAAAAAAAACAAATGATACAATAAATGCATTTTTCAGTTTCCAGCATAATTTAGAAAGTTACTTTACAAATGTTGACTTTCTAAACAGTGTTCATTATGTTTTGTTGATTTTTTTAAATCGTCAAAATAAAAATATATTTTACTGATTTTTTTTCTCCTCTGTTGATGCATATGATAGAAAGATTTCATATCGGATGTATTACATTTGACGTCCGAAGTCCGTAAACTTTTCACTTTTTGAACTTCTTCTTGAGAACCTCTTAAAAGGATCAATATATTAAACTGTTATTTTCTCCATTGTTGAAGCATAGATAAAAAGATCATAACATGTCATTTTTCATATCAGATGTATTATCAGCCCTCGAGCCTTTGGCTCTTGGGCTGATATTGAACCTTGGGCTGATTATACATATGATATGAAAAATGCCATGTAATAATCTGATAGTATCGACCTCATACAAATGCTACAATTATCATATTATTATTGCCAATAAGACAGAGGTAGTGCACCAATTAATTTGATTGGTTGCTTCAATTGTGTCAGATATTCTTAAATTAACCGTGCAATATCACTTTTCTATCTGATGTTTTCGGTCTACCTTTGGAAATATAGTTGAACATGTGACTGTTTCTTAACGAATCAAATTAGTTATAATATATACAATAATAATAATACGTCATGAGGTTTGAACCGACGTTATTAGGACAAGCTTCAAAACCTTTTGAAAGACTATAGATTTTGAACAAGAAAAACTTTCATCTGAATATAACCGAAAAATTATTAGTTTTCATCAATATTAATATTTTGCTTTTTCGTCCGGTCAATCCCTCCAAAAAAGCTTCACACTGCGAATCGCGACAAACTTTCTCGATATTTAGATGTGGGAACCACTCTGTTCTATACTTATAATGGTAGTATAAAACTGGACTGTGTATTATATTATTTTTAATTTGTATTGTAGGTTGTTTATGTTACAGCTACGTTTCCGTATATAGTACTTATCATATTTTTTGGACGTGGTATAACTTTAAGAGGAGCTACGGATGGCCTGTTGCATCTATTTACTCCAAAGGTTGGTATATGTGTCCCTTAAATGAACGACTAAATGAATTAAAATGAATCTAAATGAATCCGAAAATAACCAACAAACTATATCAAGTTTATACAATGATGTTGCGCACGATGTAGGTATAAAATGCTATGAAATACTATATTAAATTTGCTTTTGGTACACAAAATTTAAAGTACATCTTTGACATTTTTTATGGGAGTTCGTATAAATGCCTAAGCATTAGCTTTTAGTATTCATTGCTGATTTTTGTTTTGATCTTTTCATGTCCTTCTTTGGTTGTAACACGGTCGTTCAGTAAGTCTCCGCTAGCGTCTATCAATTCTTAAAAAAGGAGGAATAAGATCATAAAGTGTCTGGATGATGTGACATTTTTGCAATATCTTTTCAATACAAAGTCTACAATGTGTATCTTTGCAATACAAAGTCTACAATGTGTATCTTTGCAATATAAAGTCTACAATGTGTATCTTTGCAATACAAAGTCTACAATGTGTATCTTTGCAATACAAAGTCTACAATGTGTATCTTTGCAATACAAAGTCTACAATGTGTATCTTTGCCATACAAAGTCTACAATGTGTATCTTTTAAATACAAAGTCTACAATGTGTATCTTTGCAATACAAAGTCTACAATGTGTATCTTTGCAATACAAAGTCAACAATTTGTGCCTTTTTTCGGTAGAACAATGCCCAAATAAAATAAGGTGTTTTAAAAGTTTCGTCGTCAAAACAGTATCATACAATAAACCTGGCATTTATAAATGACAATAGTAGAAACATGCACTTTTTTAAACGATCAATGATTGCTTGTGTCAGGTGGTTTTAATAGACTGCACTAGTTTTGTCAATATGTACACCTGTTTAATGAAATACCGACCTTGAATGACAGTTTTTTGCCTGAGAGAATTATATTTTTTTTACTTTTATAATATGATTGATTCAAAAATTACTGCAGTGTGTCATTGTCTAAAACTTCAAATGAAGACAAAATGCTAGTGACATAGTTTTAAGTAATGTGACGTGATCCTATATAACTGTGGCGTATATTACTTTTGATGGAATTTAAGGCATGTCGAGTGCTATTTTAATAAATATTCATGATCGCGCATGTATTGATAATATTGATTAAATTCCTGGCAATTGCCTGATTTTGTGTTTGTTTACATTTTAAGTCAAAACCACTCTTATAAATGAGGACAAGCTTTGATTAAACCCGACAAAATCACAGTATAAACGTTCTACGCTTGGAAAACGTCATCGGATGTGATATAACCTTTTACATGTTCTCAGTTTCGCGAATTCGGACATTTCTTTGAAGAAGCTAGATAAACATGTTATAACCATAACCATTTTATAAGGTTGGTTTGCTGACAGAAGCAATGCTAACCCCGTCTCCGCCAACACGCTTTCTTGTGTTTCTGGTGTTATTATTTTTTATGATTTTTGTTAGCTTAAAAAATAATGATACACAATTACATGACGATTTACTCATTGTTTTATTTTATTGACATATAAAGCGAAGTTACATATAGTTCTACATGTAAAATACATGTATGCCACCTTTGATCGTCTATCAACCTGATCAGGCTATTTTCTGTCTAGAGGGCGCCTTTTCATAATTTACAGACAAAACATTTCCGTCTAACTAAAACTGACAAACGTGAACATTTTGCATTCCATAACACATTAACGGTGTATCTCATTGTACGATATGTCATAGTCCGACTTGTGATAAACAACAAGGAAAGTTCATGTCATTAATTAAGAAGTAGATATTGTACTTGTAAATACAAAGCATAAAGGACAGAGGTAGGTCAAAGAAAGATTCTGAACATGTGTTTTATGAGAATCGATAGTTATGCAGATTTAAATATGGATAAACGGATATATGGCACTCTACATTCATGAGACAGCAACCCTCCAATATAATAACCATATCTTAGTTTGTATATCATAACATGGAAAGTTGTCTTTTTGGCAATCTGACATATCACATCTTCTTATTTTTATATAACAAGGTTTTAATCGCATCAAGTCTAGTTAGGTGGTGAATGACTTAAAGAGGGAACACTAAACATTTAAGGCAGAAAAATAGGAATTAAAATAATACTACTGACGATGCTCTCATATTATGACAGTCATAATACTAAAGCTCTTGACTTATGACAGACAGGTTTCCAATAAAACCCCTAACGAGGCTTTTATCTTATGACAGTCACAATACAAAAACAACCACTGGCGAGGCTCTTTGACAAAGAACAAGGCAACATCATGACCAGAAATATACATTTATATGATAGTTAGAAGCAGTATTGGTTGAAAAATGCACCTTCCCTTCCCGAAAATGATTGGGTTCTTCAGGCAAAAGTTTTGGAGGTGTGCGTAAATCACAGCATCTGAAATTCCGTTTGCATTTAGTTAATTAGATGCATTGTAAATCTGATTGTTATATTTTGTTTTGAACTGGCGTCAGATAATAGTGCTGTTTACGAGTAAACAAGTATCATTTGTACTTGTCATCAATAATTCCTACCATGTCTTAGAATTAGAACAATGTATTTATCAGAGTTCAACCTTGAACAAAACACTCGAGCCAAAGTGCAATAAAGTGTCCATTCAGTATCGTTGATGTAAAAGCCTTCAGCAGTGCAAACATCTCTTTAAGAGTGACATTGACCGTTTGAAATATCAGCACTTTTAGCATGTTTAGATAAGATATGCATTAAGATCCTATTACGTTATGTAAAGTCCATAAATCTTGAGTAAATGCGTATTAAGCTGGAATGGGATTGTAAAATCATAATTGTATGTCATATATGAATTAAAATAGATGTACAGTAATCGTCAATAATACAGCGACAGAAATAAACATTAAGAAAGTTCGGATTGACCAATTTTCCGAAAACTCATATTTTTTTGTAAAAATAATAATTTGGGACACTTTACTTATAGAATGCTCATTTCATTATGATCATGTGTCATGCATGGCGACAAGGGTTTTATATCGTTTTCAAATACATCGTCTGTTTGTCGATTAATAGACGAACAATTTGCCGCCTTAGAGACAAATACACCCTCAAGCCTTTTAAACTAGAATACCAAAAACTTTGCTGCAATTATGGAATGATTTTGCTACTGACGAAAATGATAAGAATTAACAAAATGTAAAATTCTTTTTCAGATTGAAAGACTTGGAGATCCACAAGTGTGGCTCGATGCCGCTACACAGATCTTTTATTCATTCGGTTTAGGATTCGGGGGACTTATAGCTTTCTCCAGTTATAATCCAAGAAATAACAATTGTCAGAGGGACGCAATCATTGTGGCATTAACAAATTGGTTTACCGCTATATTTTCTTCAACTGTAATATTTTCAGTTCTTGGGTTTAAAGCAACGCTAATGTTTGAAACTTGTCAGGACAGGTAAGGATAAAAAAAACGCTTTCATGACTCTAAAAACTTATAGGATCTCAAAGGTCAATGTTTTAATGTGAATTTCATTCGAGTTATTTTCTATTCCAAATAGAACTAGTGTTCAATGTCCGATGTAACCTTCGTTGGAATTCGTCTATGACGATACATAGACTTAACAGGAACACATATATATTGCCCACTGAACAGAAGAATTAAACATATGCTATTTTTGTGTATGTGGGTTTTGTTAAAAGAGAGGCAGAAAATACTGACGTGATAGTCATACTTATAAGTTGAAACCGAACTGACAATGCCATGACAAAAAACCGAAAAACGACCAAAAGACAAACAACAGTCTACAAAACACCACTGATGACAAACAACAGACTATAAAACACCACTGGTTACAAACAACAGACTATAAAACACCACTGATGACAAACAACAGTCTATAAAACACCACCGATAACAAACAACAGTCTATAAAACACCACTGAGGACAGACAACAGTCTATAAAACACCACTGATAACAAACAACAGTCTATAAAACACCACTGATGACAAACAACAGTCTATAAAACACCACCGATGACAAACAACAGTCTACAAAACACCACCGATGACAAACAACAGTCTATAAAACACCATTGATGACAAACAACAGTCTATAAAACACCACTGATGACAAACAACAGTCTACAAAACAGCACTGACAACAAACAACAGTCTATAAAACACCACTGATGACAAACAACAGTCTATAAAACACAACTGATGGCAAACAACTGTCTATACAACACCACTGATGACAAACAACAGTCTATAAAACACCACTGATGACAAACAACTGTCTATAAAACACCACTGATGACAAACAACAGTCTATAAAACACCATTGATGACAAACAACAGTCTATAAAACACCACTGATAACAAACAACAGTCTACAAAACCCACTGATGACAAATAACAGTCTACAAAACACCACTGATAACAAACAACAGTCTATAAAACAAATAACAGTCTATAAAACACCATTGATGACAAACAACAGTCTATAAAACACCACTGATGACAAACAACAGTCTATAAAACACCACTGATGACAAACAACAGTCTATAAAACACTGATAACAAACAACAGTCTATAAAACACCACTGATGACAAACAACAGTCTATAAAACACCACCGATAAAAAACAACAGTATATTAAACACCACTGATAACAAACAACAGTCTATAAAACACCATTGATGACAAACAACAGTCTATAAAACAAACAACAGTCTATAAAACACCACTGATAACAAATGCAGATTTGAGAAATGCGCACTAGCTGCATCAAATTACTAAGTTTGTTGGAGGTATTACCATCCAATAGTTGTTTTCTCTCTTGATTATAGATTTCCCCTTAATTCTCTTTAATAACCAAAACCAATTTAAGAAATCAATTTTCTTTATTACAGAAATATAAACCAGTTACTTCAAATGTACCCCACTCTGAACTCCAGCGAACTTACTAGAGAAGTATATCTACAAGAATACCAGACAAATTCCTCCATAAAGAATTTATTATTTAATGAAACATTGATGGGAAAACAATTCTGGTACTGTGATTTAAAAGATGATCTCAATAAGGTACATGCAGTGTGATCTCAATAAGGTACATACAGTTTGATCTCAATAAGGTATCTCAATAAGGTACATACAGTTTGATCTCAATAAAGTACACACAGTGTGATCTCAAGAAGGTACATACAGTGTGATCTCAATAAGGTACATACAGTTTGATCTCAATAAGATAAAAACAGTGTGATCTCAATAAGGTACATATAGTTTGATTTCAATAATGTACATACAGTTTAATATCAATAAGGTACAAAAAGTGTGACTTCATTAAGGTACATACAGTGTGATCTCAATAAGGTACATACAGTGAGATCTCAATAAGGTACATACAGTTTGATCTCACTGATGAAAAGATGATCTCATTAAGATACATGCAGTTTGATCTCAATAAGGTACATACAGTGTGATCTCAATAAGGTACATATCGTTTGATCCAATAAGGTACATACAGTTTGATCTCACTGATCAAAAGATGATCTCAATAAGGTACATACAGTTTGATCTCAATAAGGTACATACAGTTTAATCTCACTGATCAAAAGATGATTCAAATAAGTTACATACAGTTTGATCCCAATAAGGTACATACAGTGTGATCTCAATTAGGTACATATCGTTAGATCTCAATAAGGTACATACAGTTTGATCTCACTGATCAATAGATGATATCAATAAGGTACATACAGTTTGATCTTAATAAGGTTCATTCAGTGTGATCTCAATTAGGTACATATCGTTTGATCTCAATAAGGTACATACAGTTTGATCTCACTGATCAAAAGATGATATCAATAAGGTACATACAGTTTGATCTCAATAAGGTACATACAGTGTGATCTCAATAAGGTACAAACAGGGATCTCAAGAAGGCACATACAGTGTGATCTCAATAAGGTACATACAGATTGATCCCAATAAGTACATACAGTTTGACCTCAATAAGATACATACAGATTGATCTCAACAAGGTACATTCAGTGTGATCTCAAACGGGTACATACAGTGTGATCTCAATAAGGTACATACACTGATCAATTTTGGTTAAAACCCTTTATCACGTTGAACTTTATTTATATATGCTTAACTCATTTTAAAGTGCTTAGTTTCTGTTACTTGCAGTCTTGTTAAAACCTTTTAATTCAAAATGAAATATTTTTAAAATAAAATTCTTTTTGCTCACCTTTTTTATTTATGCAGGTAAATCCAGAAAAGTGCTTATGACGAATGAAAATGATAAAGTGTTGTTTTCATGTTTTGGGTAAAGATTGCATGAGATGCAATCAAAACCCTATGGTACTGACTTGATATCTAAATCTCCCAAGGTTTATTACTACTTTTGAGATCCACAAAATATAGTGCATTGATCATAACTTTCTAAACATCCTATCCATGAACATTTCCAGTAATTTTTCAATGAAATCTATGCTCAGATATTCAAGTTACAAAATAATGTTATACTTGTCAAGAAAATTACATAACTTCTGCAAGGTGCAGGAATCTAATTTCTGTTCTAAAAATATCAATGATGTCATTGTTAAAGTAAATTTGAAGTTACCTTCCTTTGTCCATAATTGTAGTTGAATCAACTACAACCAATGAATGTTTTTACAATGCAATGTTTAATTTTACTTCCCACTGATAAATTAAAGCAATCTTTACCCTTCAGTGCTTACAAGCACTTTGATTACAACAATGGGTCGATACCGCAGGTGGACTTTTAGCTCAGAGGGTATCATTAGCTCAGTAGTCAGAATTTCGGTGCAGACATGATTTATATCAAAAATATTTCTAGAATTGTTCGTTTATGGATTTAGAAATTATTAAGAACCTAAGGTTTCAACTCACTCAGGCAAAGTTGACCTTATATTGATTTGGCTACTATGTTAAGGTTCTTTTTAGTCATACAGCTCTTCAACTGTTTCGTTTTTTTACATCCTTGGCTTGAAGATTCGGCATTGAGCGTTCATGATGAAGGTAAATTCAGAAAAGCACTTCGGATGCATTCATTTTATAAACAGTTGTTTTCATTTATTAAAGATACGAAAACAAACCTTTAACATTGTTGTTTTCTGAAATAAATGCAATCTAGAAGTTACACACTTATCAAGTATACTAAGTAGTTATTAAAAGACAAGATTGACAAATGAGTTAGAAACTTACCTCCGCGGTTCAGTCATGAAATGGAATGAAAAGATGACGAATTGACCAGAATACGACTGACACTGGATAATATTACTCACCGAATTGGAATTACAAATTGCTATTGCTATAAAAGTAAAGAATAATGCAAATGTAATCGGTCCCCGATACTCGGTCCCCGGTTTAATATTTTTTTATATGAATGACTAGATAAAAAGCCCTCTAATCTAAAAAAGTAAAAGAAAGCGTTATTTTGTCAAAACACTGCGTTGACAAGCACGTTATCTAACATGCTGAACAATATTTCAAGATGGTGAATGAACATAACACTTAGTAAATTTCGTGCGTCCGAAGATCTTTTCTGGAACAGGAGACTCAATGTACCGACCAAAGAGTCCTCGTAGTTATTAAAAGCTTGTTCAAAGCCCAAATTCAATAAATAAATAGATCATGTTTTCCCAGACTACCGTAGCAATCAGTATACTTCCAACGGACTAAGTGTAAAGACAACAAAAGCAGTATAAAAAGCATGAACTTATGCAATGCAAAAGTATAAGGTTCAACAGGATGATAATAACTTTAATAGCAATATCTCTTTGTCTTAACATCTATGAATGCATTTATAAAGGATTTAAGTTGTTTGTGGTAATGAAATCCCTTACTTAATGAATTACGAGTTATACACAGATTACATTCATTCAAATCCAATATGTCACTACAGACACGTGCAATTCCAATATTTTGTTGTCATTTATGCCCATTAATTTATGATTCTCACTTCCGTACACTTGCTGGTTATTTCGGATCAAACCCTGGTCCGTATAATTTGTGGCATTTCGGCTAAACGGAACCGGTTACTTGAAACACCCCTATACTACATAAACGTATGCTTTATACACATATCCTATCATTATCCAAGTTTAGAGAACAGTAGTTTACCGAAGTTCAATTCTGATAAATCGATTCAGAAGAAAAATCATGGTAACAAACAAAAACTGAGGGAATCGCATGAACTCCAAAAGGGACGACACCAGGTGGGTCGACAGGGTATGCATAGCTCTCATGCATGTATCACCCTCAATGCGAATCAACACTCAGTCAAAATATCGCATTCAGGAATAAGACACAATCGGTAAAATTACAGATTAGACGACTAGTCTGGTATCTAAAGATCTAAGACTGCGGAAACATGTCGCTCGTAAGACTGTACAGACATATTATATCGGTCAACCGATTCGTGATGGTTACCGTAAAAATGTCTGTCATTTTCTTATTTTCGTAAATTTTTTTGTTTTAAATTAGGCCGCTAGTTTTCCCGTTTGAATTGTTTCACATTTTTTTTTATGTCTGACCTTTTATAGACGACTATATACGGTATGTGTTTTACTCTACGTTGAAGGCCGTTCAGTGGCCTTTTATTACTTATATCCACTTCATTTAGACTCTGGTGGATAGTTCATTGGCAATCATATCACATCTCCTTGTTTTTATAAGGGTTCTTGACGTTAAAATTGGCATCATCTTTTCTTAAGTTTTATGACTCCATCATGATTTGATTTAGCGTTATACAATATCTATGTCACAGATTACCACTGATATGTTCCAAATGTCTTAACGATATCCCGTCCTCTATTCCTCGTTTAGGACATCACCGAATGCGATTGATGGCTTGACTTTAACTTGCCATTACATTACAAGCCAGGTGTTCTGAATAACCTCAGTTCACCGCTCGTGTTATTGATTGAGTTCGTGTTTAATGTATAGTGTTTTATGAACTATTGTTTGGCTGTTCCTTATTTCACGTTTAGCCAGGGTATGGACTGTTGTTCGGCTGTTCCTTATTTCACTTTCAGTCAGGGTATCAGTGGCGGATCCAGAAATTTTCATAAGTGGGGCCCCATTGACTACCTAAGAGGGGGTCCGTTCCAGTCATGCTTCCGTGATTCCCTAAATAATCAACCAAATTTTTCCCACAAGGGGGGGGGGGGGGGGGGGGGGCAGCCCCTCCTAAATCCGCCTCTGGGTATGAACTGTTGTTTGGCTGTTTTTTATATCACTTTTAGACAGGGTATGGACTGTTGTTTGGCTGTTCCTTATTTCACTTTTAGGCTGGGTATGGACTGTTGTAAAACAATGAAAAAAGTAAAATAATAAAAATATCGTACTCCAAGGAAAAATCCAAAGCTCAAACACAACAAACGAATGGAAAACAACTATCATATTTCTGACTTGGTACAGGCATTTCCTTATGTAGAAAATGGTGGATTAAACCTAGTTTTATAGCTAGCTAAACCTCTCACTTGTATGACAGTCATATAGAAGTCCATTATATTGACACCAATGTTTGAGCAAAATAAACACATAATAAGTAAAAATGTCAAAAATTGGGGTACAGCAGTCCATGGTTTCTTCCAAAGTCTACATCAATTATAGAACTAATGAAAACAATCTTACATTACACTTTTTTTTACTTCGTAGGCAGCAGAAGGAACGGGTCTTGCATTTGTTGTGTTCACTCAGGCCATTGTCGAATTTGGTCCATCAGCTCCATTCTGGTCGATTATTTTCTTTTTGATGCTCCTGTCACTGGGTATCGGCAGTGAGTTTGGGACGTTGGAAGGTGTCACAACATCTATCTATGACATACAAGGTGTACCGATACTTCAAAAGAAATGGTTGGTCTCAGGTATGTTTTCTCAAATAGATAAGAAAATCAATCCAGACAAATTTGCAGTAAATTTCACCTGTCATTGTTACAGTATTTAAGTAATGGCTGTTGGATGAATTCGAAAATAAAGAAAATGAAATCCCTTCTTTTCTATTTCGTAGAATTACATAACACGCCTGGTTTTATATGAATTAAGGCAATACTGATATACCGATGTTCACGCCTGGTTTTATATGAGTTAAGGCACTACTGATTTACCGATGTTCACGCCTGTTTTTACATGAGTTAAGGCAATACTGATTTACCGATGTTCACGCCTGGTTTTATATGAGTTAAGGCAATACTGATTTACCGATGTTCACGCCTGGTTTTATCTGAGTTCAGGTAATACTGATTTACCGATGTTCACGTCTGGTTTTATATGAATTAAGGCAATACTGATTTACCGATGTTCACGTCTGGTTTTATATGAGTTAAGGAAATACTGATTTACCGATGTTCACGCCTGGTTTTATATGAGTTAAGGCAATACTGATTTACCGATGTTCACGCCTGGTTTTATATGAGTTAAGGCAATACTGATTTACCGATGTTCACGCCTGGTTTTATATGAGTTAAGGCAATACTGATTTACCGATGTTCACGCCTGGTTTTATATGAGTTAAAGCAATACTGATTTACCGATGTTCACGCCTGGTTTTATATGAGTTAAGGCAATACTGATTTACCGATGTTCACGCCTGGTTTTATATGAGTTAAGGCAATACTGATTTACCGATGTTCAAATCTCATAAATCGATTAAGAAGACAAATCAAAGTAACAAACAAAACCTGAGGGAGAGAGACCATGTTATTCGACAATGTATGCGTCTTCTGCTATGTATGTATCACCTGTCATGCTAATCCACACTATTTTATTTGTGATAGACAAGCAAGAAGTCAGGGAAAGTCAAATGTAATTATAGCTAGGTCTAAAGTTCTCGTATACTTTCCTTTCTAATTCAAAAGCTGAAAAACGTGTTGTCCAATAGTGCAGTAATTTTTGGAATCGCTTATGACTAGAAAATATATTTAAATGCATGTTATACTTTTTTGTAGGAATATTATGTTTAGTGAGTTGTTGCATTGGAGTTATTTTTGTACTTGGAAGCGGTTCCTACTGGGTTGCCTTGTTTGATTCCTATGCAGGTTCATTTCCATTAATTACAGTTGCCTTATTTGAAAGTATTTCTATAGGATGGGTTTATGGAGTAGACAGGTTAGTTTATTTGTTGTCTTATATTTATTATATTGTCTCTTCAGTGATGCTTGAGGCCAACATATTTACAAATGCAAAACTTATTTAAAAATAGATAGCTTATAAACCGAAAATGACAAAAGGAATACAGTCAAAGCTGGGCAAGGAATCAGAGCTTTTCATGAGGGAGATGTATTTCTTAATTTAAAACAATTGTTAAAATTTTGTAACAGCAAATTTTAATAAGAAAATATCTGTATTTCCATGCCAGTTCCGAAGTACTGGCTACTGAGCTAGTGACACCCTCGGGGACTAACAGTCCACCAACAGATAATTACAATCAAATCAACCTATTTGAAATAAAATAGATTGCATTGTTTTTTATCGTCAAATTATAACACATTATTATTATTAATAACTAGATAAAATGAATTGAAAATTTAAAAACAAACTTAATTTCATCTCTCGTATGCTTTGGTGATAGCGATCACATCAGGTTATAAAATAATTTTGCTTTGCTTTGCATTTTGAAGTGAAAAACTGAACATTCTGAATGGACCGTTCTTTCATTAAATTTAAAGAAGCTGTCAGTTTAAACTGACTAATAATCAATTTTTATTTTCAATTAAACATAAAATTATACAAGCTTTTGTTTAAAATGCAGGTTTGCAGATGATGTTAGACAGATGATTGGATCTCCCATCAGTCGATATTGGAAGATAACGTGGAAATTTGTGGCTCCTTTTATGATAGCTGGATTGTTGTTGGCTACATTTATCAGTAAAATTGTAAATCCAATTACATACACTGTTTATGACAAGTCAGAGGTAAGTCTGTTTGCAATAGTTTGGAAAAAAGTAAAATTGCTAAAATACCGAACTCCAAGGAAAATTCGAAACGGGAAGTCCCTTATCAAATGAACAAAAGGTACATCAATACCATATACTATGTATATTTATCGTAAAATGACATTATATACAAACACAATTTATTAAAGACTCTACTCAGAGTTGAACATAAATAGGGCTTCAACTGACAACCTGTCACTGAAATTGTAAATATTACTAGATCAAAAGGACAAATATGGACTGCATTGATAACTATATCATGTTTTTCAACCTGCATGATGAATATAATACATGCATGTTTTTAAAGGTTCACTGACATCACTTTTACTGTAACAAAACTGTGTTTTACCATTCTTAACGTCTACATAATTTAAGGTAACGATCGGATATTTTGACAATATATTGAATACAATACAAACGAAATTATTTCATGATCACTACAAAAGTCACCACTGGCGATTTGATGCGTGCGACGGTCTTTTTTCAAACACAAGTGTCACTAGTTTCATAGTAAAACACAAGTGTCTATTGCTTCTTAACAACACGAAAGTGTCTGAATTCCCAGTTACACACAACTGTCTGTAGCTTCACAGTAACACACACGTCTCTTTAGCTTCACAGTAGCACACACATGTCTCTAGCTTTACTGTAACACAAATGCCTATAGCTTCTTAGTTACACACAAGTATCTGTAGCTTCTCAACAACACAAAATAGCCTGCCGGTTCCCATTAACACACAAATGTCTGTAGCATTCACCATAATGCTTGTATTGATATCTTCAAGACCTTATCGCCTGTATGGAACAAGAAGACTTTGTTGTGTAGTTTTTTTCATAAATGAAAAGGTCTTATACTTATGAAATGTCTTATTAGTCCCAATGTAAACTTTTGAGACGGTTTCCATCTATTCTGTGACCTCTAAGGATAGTTCCTACAAATATCTGTCAGATTTACACAGCTTTCATCTCGTTTTACATTTTAGGCTTCAACCAAAGATAGTCCATATCCCTGGTTTGCTGGCATGATAGCGTCTATTCTTGTATTAAGTTCTGTCCTTTGTATTCCTGGCAATGCATTGTTGCGTAAATTTGGAATATTGAAAATGAGTTATTCCAAGAAAGTACAAGCTGATATGCATGGTGTGACAAGTTCAACTGTAGCATTTTCTAGGACAGGGGATGACGAAGAGGACAGTGATTCAGGTCATAATTCAGAGGAACTAGTTACTGCGCCTTTTCTAGAAAATAAAGACACAAGTTGTGCTATAGAAGAAGAAGAAGATAATGTAAAACTTTAAGAATAATTCTTCACCTTAAGTCAATTGTATATTCAGCTGTTGTTATAACTTATCACTTTTCAAGAGATATATTTAAAGTTTCCTATGGAAGTCGAGAGTTTTAGTCAAAAGTTACTGGAAGCATTTATGCTACCGAGATTATTTTACATAAAGGCAGCATTTCATTGAATATTTGACTTTTAGCTGTATATTAGTTAAGGTAGGAAAGGTGTTTTGCACATTAAAGAATCCTTTAGAAGTCACAAAACTAATGCAAAATGAAAGTACAAAAAAAGAGGGGGAGATATTTTAAACCAAATATCAATCAAAAACTTACAAAAAGAAAAGGCAAACAAGCATTGGTCTTCAAAAGACTACACAGAAAACTTAAGATTGAGCAACAAAGAACACCACCAATAACTGCACATGAACGGTGATATATCCTTCATTTTTCTAGTAAAACGTTGTTTACCCAGTTTACAGTGTTGATCTACCAATGTTTCAAAATCCTCAAATAAACTGATAAAGATGTCCAAACTGAGTTTAAAAAAATATTCATTTGGGTATAAATTTATCATATTAAAGAAAGTAATTGTTCAACCAGGAGTACAGCAATCCATTGTTAAATGTTTTACTTTTATACATGTATCTGCACCTTTATTGATAGTTCCTTTACTAATACACAAATTCTATAAAAATGCCTGTTGAGGAAAGTTTGACCATGGATAATGGTTAAACCTGCATTTAGAATTTTTAAATAAACAGACTACTAGTATACAAAACATGAAATTAAAGATGTCCAAAAAGAAGTAATGAAATACTTAGAAAGTTTTCACAGTATGTTTTCACATTATTTATGAATAAATTAATACAATCTGCCAAATCATTAATTTTAATACTGATAAATTTTGTAGATAGTAAAACTTTATGATAAATAAAAACTCCAAGCAGCAATATGAATTCGAAAAAGCCACTTAACTGCAAATAAAAACAACTTTAATAGTTCACTTGTTGATGTCACCGACGCTTAATTTAATCTTGTCAGCACATCCGAAGACTGCCGAGAAGTGATACCACTTAAATGGGGAGGTGAGAAAGTGTTTATTCATTGAAATATTCATATGATGTAAGCTTACGTTATCACATCATCCATAACTGTGCATGTGTAATTAAATCTCCGAACATCTTCAAGGCAGAGGTCATTTGTCTACGACTACCCGCTTGTTGAATTATTATACCGTTCGACAATATTTCTGATGAAGACTTTGTTCTCATAATGTTTAAAAGAAGAGGGATTTCGATTGATTATTTTTTTTTCATTCGGATGCGAAACGGCAACAAAATTTACTGCAGCTTGTATTAGTTTAATGTAGTCCTATATCAAATGATATAGTTAAACTAAACGTTTTCATTATTTTTTAATCTAGGTAAAAAACCTTTTCATTGCTCTCGTAACTTCCAAAGTCTTTTGAATTTTATAACTTCTAGTACTACTACTTCATTATTTATATTTTCTTTATCTTTAAAATCATATCAACACATTTTTTAGATTTGAGATTTGAATTTGCTTTCTTATACCCTTTTGAAAAATAGTATAACATTTATGATGTGTTTTGGTTTATGCCAACATTATGGTTGTGAAACTCATATTGAGCCAGTAAAAACATGATCTTGAACATGGACTTACTTTATTTGTACTTTTATCAAAGACATTTTCTAAAACATTCTATAAGGAAGAGCCGCTATTGCGCACAAGGACATGTATCATGTATGTTTTAAGTTGAAAAGTTGAAATTTTCAAAGCAGTTTTAATGAAAATTATGCGGCGTGTACATAAAAAATACAAAATATATACAAGAAATTCTTCTAGGACAATGAACTTTGGGGAAAACGTATATGTTTTATTCCTCCCCCTGTGAATCTTAAACATGCATGTAATCAATTTCATCAGAATTTGAAGAAATAATAAATTTAATAAACTGATGTTTAGAAAATACACAGGATAAAGATAAGACTGTTTGATAAACATACTTTTTTTCACGATTAATGTGCATAATGGAGTAACACAGACAATCAACATTACAATTTACATATACATGTAGCTTTACATCAACAAAAGACTAAGAATATACGAAAGAAAAATTACAGTTGTCTTTCCTCTTGTACAAAATCGTGTAAATGGCTTAGGATTAAAATTCTAATGTATATAGATAACAGATAAGATAACGAAAGTCATGTATCAAGAATTCTACAATAAGTGGTACATAAAATCAGACTTTTGTTTTGATTATATAATGATAACTTGCATAATGTGTAGCATGTTTATTAAATATCAATAGTAAAGATCTGACGTCAAAAGGCAAAAACTATCTATTTTTACAAAAGCCTATGTATAAAATTACCATCAAGGTCCAATATGCATATTTGCAAATCTTTATGATATTATAGTGACTTTAGAAGAGACATTTCTTCACTAAAGTGTCCATATTTTATCTTTTTGTTAACCTATTAATAATAAAATTATGATCAAGGCTAAAATAAGTTAACTTTTTTTTAGTTTCAGCTATCCTTGACATGCAACATTACGTTGTTACATTTATTTTGAATAAATTCAATTTATTTTCTGTTTCATCAAAATGTTTTGCATTGTAAAGTAGTACACTTTATCATGATTTGATTTATGTATTTTACCGCATTCATAATTGTCTTTATTTAGTTTATAATATTACTGTACTAGTATTAAAAAAAAACCCTTTTTTACAGACTAATACTTGTAATTTTAGTTAAGTAAGATGTTTTTGGAAGTTATTTAAATCGACATTTTATAATTTAATTAAAGCATATATTTGTTTTCATTCTACCTGTGCAATAAATTGAACTTAGTTTTACAATTCGCTGCATAAGTAAATATTTTCAAATGCTTGTTTATTCCACTGCACCACGTTTTTTAATACTCAAAACCAAAATTTTTAGTTTCCAGAAATTTCTGTACAAATAGTTTCTTAATTAGGTCATAGTATGTGTTAATTTTTACTTATTGATTATTTTATTATTTATATCATTGATTGAAAATTTTACTTAAATAATTGTTAATTAATTATTTGTAATTTGTTTTTGTTGACTACTCTTCTATTTCATCTATTTGATGTTACTCAAATTACATTAATCTCTTGCATTTCGTAGTTTCACAAATTTGATTATATTTATTAAAAATATTCGTTGATTACATACATTTAGTCTCAGAACGTATCTGTCCACAGTAATATTCAAACATAGAATTTATCTACATTTGGAAATCAAGCTGAAAAAGTTTAATGCATTAATGCAAAAAAAGATAATCAGTTGTTTTAATTTTAGACTCGGGTAGTATTAAAAAAACGAATTGATTAAAGCCATAATCACTGTTCATGTACATCGAGTGCCAATAATTGTGGTTGTAGAAAGTATGGAAACAGTTGCATATCCACTTATTCATAAATTACAATATGATTATTTTCATAATCATGAAGAAGACTCTGTATTTATTCTATAGATTTTTTAATCGAGATTCTCCTGTCAATATGATAGGGACATTTGAGTAAGTTTGCTCTTTCCAAATCCTTGCTTGAATCAGTTTTAACTCATTCTTTTTTGATACCAAGATGAAAGAAAAAAAAATTTGGTTGCTGTTACAGACTCATCATGAATAAAAGTGCTGTTCCTTTGTCCTTGTATTTCATGATATTTTTGGCTTTGTATGTCCATCCCACTTTGTTTGGTTTTGATTTTTTTTAGCAAAGGCAGGCAATTCTTCAAATATTTTTTATTTACATTCAATTAGGAATAGATCTTAGCTTTACATTAAATGTTTGGAAACTGAAAGTGTCAGAGAAATGTTTTGTTGGGATTATAGTCTGAATAGGTTTGGTAACCTGAACCAATAATACTATATATTGTGTTTGGGTTTAGTAGAATATACTATTTATTGAGAAATAATGATTAAACCTTAAATAATATGTCAACTATTATTTAGTTATTATACGTGTATTTTTTCTGCTTGATGCATAATAGGTGTGTTGTTTGCAATGATTTTATTGTTTTGTCTGTGAGTTTATTTATGTATATTCAGCTTTGAGATAAGACATTTATTATAATATACATCCAACATGAAGGAAGTTATTATTTAAAAAAAAACGAGTCCAGTCTTGGACAACACGGTATCACTTTGATTTTTGTATACTTTCAACATTGATGTGATATTCCTTTATTTTTCATATTTTCACGGATATCATACACTATTTGAAGCTTATGCATTTGTTTCCAATGGGGGCATTAGGAAAAGATAAATTTTCCATAACGTTACAAATGGAGAATAAAACTATTGATTTTACCACTTTGAAGAAAGTTAGATTTAGAACAAATATTTGCTTTAATTTGACATGTGTGGTGGTCCTTCATTTCTTTCCATTTATTTTTAGGCCATTGTATGTTTTGTCTTTCATTCTCTATTCTTTATATTTTAGCACCTCTTTATCTCTATTCTCAATTTATTTGTCCGATTTTTCTTTATTCTTTATTTTTGGACCATTATTCCGTAGTATTGTTCCATTATTCTCTTTTCTGGAAGCCCCATACAGACCATCATGCATAATGATTGAGTAGTTTTAATTTGTTGGTTTATTGTTTTAAATTCTAAATATGTTAGTACAATGTTAAGACGTACTTTTCATGTAATGTTACGGTCATGTCACTTTGTACCTGTAAAAAGTGAAACTCCTTAGAAATGTAGACCCTGTTTTTTATTGTAATTATTTGGGCATTCCGGGATGATTCTTCAACTCCGTAGTCGACATTGGTGTTGCATTTGAAGGTTAAAGTGGTAATTTTATTGGTTTAGAATCATAATCAGATGTTCATCACAAATTAAAATCATTCCATGGATGATAATTTTGTAAAACACTATTTTGACGAAATGTTTTCGGATTTTATAAATTTCATATATGAAAAAAGATTAAAAGTGTGACTTAATTTGAAATACGGGTGTGTGAGTTTTTCATCACAGTGTGTTTATGATCGATAAGAAAGTGTATATAATGTGTAAACATTTAAGAGCATAAAAGATGAGAGTGAGGGAGAGAGAGAGAGAGAGATTTAATATTCCTTCCTCTTGTAAATAGATTAAATGAGAAAACTGGCCAGAGCATATTTTAAGGTCTCTCGCCGGGAAATCTTCTAATGACAATTTAGACGATCTGCCAAGTAAATTTTTCTAGTGTCATTTTGTTTTGTTATTGTTTTTTCTTTATGAAATGTATATCATAATTGCATTTACTTTTGATAAAAATTAACGTAAGAAACATTTGAGAAAGTTGAAATACCAGAGTATCTATGCATTTCTTATATTGTACTTTTGTATATATGAGAAACAACACAATAATATGGAAATAAGAACTATGTGTAGTTCAGACCACATTTTACCTGTGTCAGCATTTTATCCATATTTCTACAATGGACAATCAACTATTTTCATTGTTGTTTTGCATTTAGGCAGTATGAGATAACAAATCAAATGGAATTCGTTTTTAAAATGACATTTTAAATTTTATTAATACCTATCTGAAAATATGCTAAAGTTAAGTTTCAACTACACGTATTCCATAAGGATAGTAACAGCTTTGGCGTTGGTTTTTACCTATGGTCATTTGTTACAGTAATATGTTATTAATGCCAATGAACACTATGTTTGTCAATAATGGATGCAGTCTAAGCTTGCAGTTATCTATTATTTAACATGCAAAACACTGTATTAATATTATCATTTGCTTGTATTTGCCGATGGGATTTTTTTCAAAACAATTTTACACATTTTACCTAAGTGCTGGAGAACTCTGTTGTCGTTACATTATACTTGACAGTTCTAACAGCAACTTCAAAAGAGTGCTAATTTTGTAAATACTTTTTGTCATTGTTACTGCATTTCAAGTTGTTAAAAGTGTGTGAATAAAGGGTATGAACTATAGCCTTGGATTTTATTACATCTACAAAAAGCTTAACTTGTCTTTTTGTTGATAAGTTTAACCTTCTTGCATTCTTTAAAAACTATTTGTTATTACCATTGTTGGCAGATACCTGTCTTTTTCTCAATTACAACAATGTTGTTGTCATTGCAGAAATAGCTCCAACTGATAATGTTATGTGTTTAAAGTACAATATACAATCTGATCGAACTGACAATTGAGTATTCACGGTTCAATTGGTAATGAATTTACTGCATAGAAAATCTGTCATATGTCTGTTTAATGTTCCTTTGGAACTTTATTCTCAAACAAAGAACTGGATCGTCCTCTATCGTATTGAATAATCAATAAAATTGAGAATGGAAATGGGGAATGTGCCAAAGAGACAACGACCCGACCATAGAGCAGACAACAGCCGAAGGCCACCAATGGGTCTTCAATGCAGCGAGAAACTCCCGCACCCGGAGGCGTCCTTCAGCTGGCCCCTAAACAAATATGTATACTAGTTCAGTGATAATGGACGTCATACTAAACTCCAAATTATACGCAGGAAACTAAAATTAAAAATGATACAAGACAAAAAAGGCCAGAGGCTCCTGACTTGGATTGGCGCAAAAATGCGGCGGGGTTAAACATGTTTTTTGAGATCTCAACCCTCCCCCTATACCTCTAGCCAAAAACAAACGCACACCAGTACGCACAGTAAAACTCAGTATAAGAGAAGTCCGAGTCCGATGTCAGAATAGGAAACAAAAGAAAATAAACAAAATGACAATAATACATAAATAACAACAGACTACTAGCAGTTACTGACATGCCAGCTCCAGACCTCAATTAAACTGATTGAAAGATTATGTCTTCATCATATGAATATCAGGCACAATCCCTCCTGTTAGGGGTTTAGTATTATACCGTCATAAAATATATGAGAAGAACATAACCCGTGTCATGCCAACAACTGGTTTTAGAATAAATGTTTTTAATTCCGATGCAAAGACCCTATAAGTGAATCAATATTAAAGCCAAAATATGCAATCTTTAATGACCTGACAACAGTATCGTAACTATATCCCTTCTTAATAAGTCTGTTTAAAGGTTTTGTTAGCTTTTGTGGTGAATACTGACATTTTTGTGCTTTGTAAAGAATATTACCATAAAATACATACATAAGTTTCTATACAGAAAACAGGAACTGCTAAATCTTTCAAAGAAATGAATTTAATGCAGAATTTTGGTGAGGTTCGTGTTCGTCAATCTTTTTTAGACCCCTACCGACGAAATCGAATGGGACTTTAGGTTTAAATTTCGTTCGCCTGCCTGTCTGTCTGTCTGTCCAGCAAATCAGTTTTCCACACTTTTTTTCGTCATGCTTGAAGGTATTGACTTGATATTAGTTATAAAGTTTACACCATGACAAGTTATAGATCAAGTTAGCATTTTGTTCCAGTACAATTAATTTTTTACCGGTAGGGGACTATGTATTGCCATGCAATACTCTCAGAATGCTTGTTTTCTTTGAGAATTGCAGTTGTCTGATTTATGGGTTTTGGTTGTCTACTTGATATTTTAATTATAGTCTTTTGAAAGTTAGCTGTTTGGTCTGACAAGCTCTTTTAAAACTATTTATTCTATCAGCAATCAAAACCGGGTTTCAGACTATCTGTGTCGCTATCTAGTACTGTAAGGGTGTTGGAAATAAATTTTGATTCAAATTATTTCAAAGATCTACAAACTTCATACATGCTCCTCAATCAGAATAAGACGATAGCCGTTTTCTTCGATTCATGTTGTGTCCTCTCCTTTACTCGTTCAATATTTGATAACTGTGTTCATTTCAAATACACTTTTAAAGTTGAACCGAAGGAAACAATAGGTGCAGTTAAGTCTACTTCATATTTTGATTATGAATTTTGGTTGATGACTGAACTTTATGACTAAAATATGACTTCCATACTCCTCATTGTGAACTTTCCATTTCTATGTAGCAACATTAAAAAGCATTACATAGTATGTATACATCTTCTACTTAATCTTCTAAATCGTACTACGACGAGTGTCTTGTAAATGAATTAGGAATAAATGAGCACTCATGAGAATGTTCTAATTAGATTGACAAAAAATCTGGCCGCAGTGAAAGAGGGTCTTCAGAAATACTGTGAAACTGTTTACTCTCGTAGTGGTATTAACCATATGTGGATTCTAAAAAACTCTATAGAACTTCTTGATAATTTTAAATCTCGATCTTTCTCTGAAATTAATTCTATCAAAACTTCTGATTTTTTAACCCTGTATACCACTTTTTAAATTATAAATTTCCCCCACCTTAACAGCAATATACCAACTTCACCTGCATATGGGATATACATTTCCCAACTAATTCGGTATTCAAGAGCTTGCAGATGCTACTCAGACTTTATAAAACGTCACCAGTGTCTGAGCAGAAAGTTAATGCGCCAAGGTTATGTCAAAGAACGTCTCGTCCTGTTCATTGGAAGATACCAAGACCTTGTTGATAGATATTCCGTATCAACTTCACAAATAATACGATGGTCTTGAAGTATAGATTCTAGGTACTGACGTTGTTTATCATCTTGATTACGTGTGAAAGTTCCCCTTTTGTGTCCTTGTATATTTTTAACCTTGACTATTTATGTATTTTTGATTATATATTTATGACGTGGATCGGTACTTATATACATCCTGCCATTGTGCTATGGTCAATTTTGAGATCTTGTCTTTCATTTTTGCTTATGTACTTTATCTATATGCCATTTAGTGGTTCTTTGTTGAAACAGTTATTTGTTTTTATAACAATTAAGATTATATTACAATGTTGACTGCTGTACCCCAATTTTTGACGTTTTTATCTATTATGTCTGTTTGTTTTGCTCACACATTGTTGTCAATATAATGGAATTCTATGCGACTGTCATACAAGTGAGAGGTTTAGCTAGCTATAAAACTAGGTTTAATCCACCATCTTCTACATAAGGAAAAATCTGTACCAAGTCAGTAATATGACAGTTGTTTTCCATTCGTTAGATGTGTTTGAGCTTGTGATTTTGCCGTTTTGAATTTCCCTTGGAGTTCGGTATTTTTGTTATTTTACTTTTTTCCAGGCAATACTTTATTCCAGGGATTGCATTTCCAATTTGTTTTGTCATGGTGTCGTCCGTCTTTCTTCGGCTGATGTTTTATGATTACCAAATTGCTATCTTCTCACATTTATTTCCTTTTTTAGCTCACCTGGCCCATTGGGCCAAGTGAGCTTTTCTCATCACTTGGCGTCCGTCGTCCGTCGTCGTCGTCCGTTAACTTTTACAAAAATCTTCTCCTATGAAACTACTGGGCGAAATTTAACCAAACTTAGCCACAATCATCATTGGGGTATCTAGTTTAAAAAATGTGTCCGATGACCCGGACAGCCAACCAAGATAGCCGCCATGGCTAAAAATAGAACATAGGGGTAAAATATAGATTTCGGCTTATATCTCTGAAACCAAAGCATTTAGAGCAAATCTGACATGGGATGAATTGTTCATCAGGTCAAGATCTATCTGCCCTGATATTTTCAGACAAATCAGACAACCCGTTGTTGGGTTGCTGCCCCTGAATTGGTAATTTTAAGGAAATTTTGCAGTTTTGGTTATTATCTTGAATATTATCATAGATAGAGATAAACTGTAAGCAGCAATAATGTTCAGCAAAGTAAGTTCTACAAATAAGTCAACATGACCAAAATGGTCAATTGACCCCTTAAGGAGTTATTGCCCTTTAAAATAAATTTTTAACAATTTTTCGAAAATTTTGTAATCTTTTACAAACATCTTCTCCTCTGAAACTACTGAGACAAATTAAACCAAACTTGGCCACAATTATCATGAGGCTATCTATTTTGACAAATGTGTCCGATGACCCAGCCTGCCAACCAACATGGCCTACATGGCTAAAAATAGAACATAGGGGTAAAATGCAGTTTTTGAATTATATCTCTGAAACTAAAGCAAAAGTATAATGGTTGCATTATTTCATGCATCAATTGTAAACAAAAATATCAGGTGAGCTCCTTGGAGCCTCTAGTTTAATAACAACATAAACTAATAGACTTAAAATCTAGGATATTAAACGCCAGAGAATATACAATCGGTTTCGGAGATATTTCCTTTAATAACGATAGAAATATTTATTTTGAATTAAAAAAAATCCGGCGGTATACATAAGGAAAAAAAATCAAATTTGAAAAATTGGTAAAAAATTACAGAGGTAATCAAATGTGATAACCCCCTTCACTGAATAACGGACTTTACCACATATCCCTGTTGTTAACTCATCCTTGTAGTATAAGAGAAAGAAACATTGAAACCATTTCTTTACGTTAACGTATATTTAACTGAATATTTATGGCATGGTATTGGTTGCAAAAATTTGATATTTTTCATTTAAATGCAATATTTTTCATTTAATTGGTATATTTTTTCATTTATATGCAATATTTTTTCATTTATATGCAATATTTTTTCATTTATATGCAATATTTTTTCATTTGTATGGTATATTTTTTCATTTAAATGGTATATTTTTTCATTTATATGCAATATTTTTTATTTTAATGGTATAATTTTTCATTTATATGGTATATTTTTTCATTTAAATGCAATATTTTTTATTCAAATGGTATAATTTTTCATTCAAATGGTATAATTTTTCATTCAAATGGTATAATTTTTCATTCAAATGGTATAATTTTCATTCAAATGCAATAGTTTTTATTCAATTGGTATAAAATGTCATTTGAATGCAATATTTTTTATTCAATTTGTATAGTAGTTTTTTAATTATATGCAATAATTGCATTATGGGAAATTCTTTGACGTCATAAGGTCAAATTTGCAACAACGTTTGTGATTGGTCGGAAATTGTTTGGATTTCTCCCCATTCTTTCTAAACATGGGTGACCAAGAATTAAAAAACGCGTCAGAATATCGCCCCTCTAACTAAATCT